GAGGTGGCATTTGCCGGTTCTCCAAACTTCTCAAAATTTCTGCAACCAGTTTTCCAGAACCTGCTGAATTTCAACCCTGCTTTACCTGTATGTTAGGGAAATGGCACTGGTTCCAAGCTATCTATAAGCAGGCTCCCTGCAGAATTATGCTTAAAGGTAAAGGCTCCCCTTGCACATGTGTGCTAGTCGTTCCAGACTCTAGGGGGCGGTGCTCATCTCCGTTTCAAAGCTGAAGAGCCAGTGCTGTCCGAAGACGTCTCCGTGGTCCTGTGGCCGGCATGACTCAACTCCAAAGGCGCATAGAATGCTGTTCCCTTATCACCAAAGGGGGTCCCTATTTTTCTACTTGCATTTTTTTACGTGTTTTCAAACTGCTAGGTTGGCAGAAGCTGGGACAAGTCACGGGAGCTCACCCCGTTACACGGATTACACTAGGGACTCGAACCGCCGATGTTTTGATCGATAGGTCCCTTCAGAATTATGCTTAGCTCCTACCTTTTAAGCTTTCAGAAGGGGAGCTAAGTTGACCTTTCCAGTTAGGCTATCTGCAATCAGTTAATTAAATTATGATTTTAGGGCTTTTTTGAACTTTAATAACTTTATTGTCATTGTACGTATATACACAGTATACCCATACAACGAAATTCACTTAACACCGAAAGACCAGGTCCAACACACATAACAATCCCCAAACACCCCCACCCACCACAAATTCCCCACCCCTAAACCACCCAAACATCCACACAACAGACCAAGTAATGGTGTCCAACAGCTCATCAATAGTGGCCCTTTAGTTCATGGTTGAGTGCGATTATAGCTCTGGGCTAAAAGCAATTCCAAAAACGTGTGGTCCGAGTTTTAATTGTTCTGTATCTTCTGCCAGAAGGCAACAGAACTTGAAAGTTAACTGCTGTTAATTTTTGCTTTTCCTCGTTTAGCTTCTTCGTCTTTCTGTAGGATGAAAAAAAGTGTAAAAAAAGAAGAAGTACAAGTCGCTCTCTGATAAGGATATTCTTGGCTCATAACCGATGATGTGGGTTATTGAGCAGAGTAAACGCATGAAAAGCAACTGGGAGTGGTTGTGAACAATCACAGTCAACATACAAACACACTGAGTTGTTGTAGTCTTTTACTTTTAGAAAAAGTAAAGCAAAGTCCAAAAACAATCAAAGTCAAACACAGATATGACGAGAGTTAAAAGATCAATCCAGGGATATTTCAAGTACAAAGTCTTCTTAACAGTTGTAGTCATACACAATAAAACAGTTCTTCTTGAGTTTCAAAACAGGAACAAGTTCAATATCTAAACATTCAATAAATAGTAGAAAGCAACATGTACCTATGATTAAACAGTGATCATGCAGAGAGATCAGGTAGAGAGTTATAGCAAACAAACAGGTAAAAATGGTGGTATATCCACACAAGCCATGATCCAGACTTCCCTTAAGTACATTGGCTACAGATCTTAGCCAATCAGGATACAGGATGATGCAATACAGTCTTAAAGCAATATAATACCTTTCTGACTGCAACCACACATTGTTGGTTTAAATGTTGCCTGACCAACTAGTTAGACAAATAACCATTTCCTAACACTCTCAACTCACAACAGTTCATTTAGTAACCATTCAAAGTTACAAAGGCACTGTAAAAGGTGACCTCATGCGTATGACCGTTGCAGCATCCCCACGGTCACGCAATTTACATTCGGATGCTTGGCAACTGGCTCACACTTACGACGGTGGCAGCATCCCGGGGTCACGTGATTTTGCGACCTTCTGATAAGCAAAGTCAGTGGGGAAGCCAGATTCACTTAAGAGCCGTGTGACTGATTTGACAACTGCAGTGATTTACTTAACGTGGCAAGAAAAGTCGTTAAAACAGGGCAAAAGTCACTTAACATATTTCTCACTTAGCAACATAAATTCTGGGGTTAATTGTGGTCATAAGTCAGCCTGGAAACGGCTGAAAAAAAAGCCTGGCTTTTAAAAGAACATTTTTGTGGGTCACCCCAAAAAAGATCCTTAATTACACAGACAAACAATTTTGTGCAAAATTGGAAAAGTGAAGAGATCCCGACGGATGAGAATGTTATTCAGAAAATATTAGAATGTGCAGAAATGAATAGATGAACACTTGCAATTAAAGAAAAGGAAGATCCTGATTATTATAGCATATGGGAGTTATTGAGAAGTGAAATATGGAAAACCTTTTAATAAAGTTAAGGAAGCTAAGAAGGATTGTTAGAATAGTAGGTATGTAAGTTAGTACTAAATTAAGAATTGACAAAATAGTAAATATGGCTGTAAATCTTAATTGTTATTGCGCAAAATATTTGTACCCAGATGACACACTGTTTAATGAAAGATGAAGTGTTTGTATTAAAATAAAATAAAAAATAAAAATAAAAAATTAACAAGTGCACAGTGGTAGATCAAACTGTGGCATCCTTGGTGTTCTCTGAGCTTGGTTCTTCCCTTATAGACATTTCATGACCCAACTAGGTAACATCATTAGTGCAGATGGGTGTGTATCTATTTAAAGTAATCAATTATTTCTTCTCCCCACACCATAATTGCGGCCAGTGCCCCCATGGATACCAATTTGCTGAGCAACATCCAGAAGCTTTTCTCGGAGCGGATTGATATCTTCAGCCCCGTGGAGTTTAACAAGGTGAGGACAAGCGGGGTGCATGGAGCCCAATTCTTCTCTTTTTCTTCTCTTCGCCCAGCACCTTCAGAAGCAGAAAGAATTGTCGTTTTAAAGTAGGTTGGTTTGAGCAACGGCTTTTAGCAGGAAGGGATAGACCTCCACGGTTAAGGTACTTAGAATCGTAGTGTCAGACCTGCCCCAGTCTGATCCCTTAAGGAAGAGAAACCCTCGACTCCCATTTGGTGGAAGTGAAAGATACTTTTACTAAGGGATGCTGGTTGCATTAGAGTCAGGCGGAATCTGAGTTCCTCCACAAAAAGACAAAAACTATTTCCTTCAGTCCCCCCCCCCCCCCCCCCCCCCCCCCCCCCGTACCCCACTCAGAGGGCTGGAAAGCTCTATGAAGTGGGATATGTCTAAGTGCTACTGCTATTTCCCTCCCTCCCATCTTCCTTCCTTTTCTTTTCTTCTAATTCCTCCCTTCCTATTATTTCCTTCCTTCCTTCCTTTTCTTCCCCAATTCCTCCCTCATTCCTGTCTTCTTCTGCCTAATTCTTCCCTATTATTTCTTTCCTTCCCTCCCTTCCTCTCTCTTTCCTTCCCTTCCCCGTGGTTAGAATGCAGTATTGCAGGCTGACTCTGCCAACTGCCAGGAGTTCGATTCTCACCGGCTCAAGGTTGACTCAGCCTTCCATTCTTCCGAGGTCCATAAAATGAGGACCTAGATTGTTGGGGGCCAGAGGCTGACTCTGTAAACCGCTTAGAGAGGGCTGTAAAGCACTGTGAAGCGGTATATAAGTCTAAGTGCTATTGCTATTACCTTCCCTCCCTCCCATCTTCCTTGCTTTTCTTCTAATTCCTCCCTTCCTATTATTTCCTTCCTTCCTTCCTTTCTTCCCCCAATTCCTCCCTCATTCCTGTTTTCTTCTGCCTAATTCCTCCCTTCCTATTATTTCCTTCCTTCCTCCTTTCCTTCCTTCCTTCCCTTCCCTTCCCAGTGGTTAGAATGCAGTATTGAAGGCTGACTCTGCCAACTGCCAGAAGTTTGATTCTCACCAGCTCAAGGTCAACTCAGCCTTCCATCCTTCCGAGGTCCATAAAATGAGGAAATAGATTGTTGGGGGCAAGAGGCTGACTCTAAAACCACTTAACGGGGTTATAAAGCACCGTGAAGCGGTATGTAAGTGCTATCGCTAGTCCTATAAAATGGGGCAAAAATCACTTAACTGCCTTGCTTAAGAACCAGAAATGTCACGCTCAACTGTGGTCATAAGTCAAGTACTATGTGTAATCAAAAGGGTTCCTTCCGAGTTTGCACATGGTTGCTTCCCAATCTTTTCAAAAATAAATAAATAAATAAACATCCCTGCCTCTGGTTTTCGCCCTTTTTCAAACCCTCCTTCCTCTTTCTCTACCCAGGTCTCCGTGCTGACGGGCATCATCAAGATCAGCCTGAAGACTTTCCTGGAGTGCGTCCGCCTGCGCACCTTCGGACGCTTTGGCCTGCAGCAGATCCAGGTAGACTGCTACTACCTGCAGCTCTACCTCTGGCGCTTCGTTTCGGATGAGAACCTGGTGCATTTTTTGCTGGACGAAATCGTGGGCAGTACGGCTCACCGGTGCCTTGACCCCGTCCCCATGGAGCAGAGCGTGATCGAGGTCATCTGCGAACGCGGGTAGAACGGCGAGAGGCATAAGAAAGACGGGAGTCTTAATTTGGACCATCCGGAAATGAGAGTTTTTCTCCAGCTGGTGAACTTTTAAGAGGTGTGGGACTTCAACTCCCAGAATTCCCCGGCTGGGAGTTCCACTCCTCTTAAAAGTTCCCAAAGTCTCTTATCTTTTAAAAGTCCCAACTCTATTCTGCAAAGGAGCTTCCGGAAACCTCTACAGAGAAAACATTTCTCTTTCTAACTGTATGCGAAGCGATGTCGGGAAAATTGGGTTCACCCCGTGGATGTGCCCTGCAACTTTGAAACTTCAACGGTGGGAAAATTCTGATAAATAAAGAGTAATTTAATTGTCTGCTGCCTTTGGAATACTGGGTCAATTATTGCAAGTCAGCTGATTCCTGCACCATTCACAAAATTGCAATTCTGACTACCGTATTTTTCGGACTATTAAGATGCACCGGAGTATAAAACGCACCAAGATTTCGAAGAGGAAAACAAAAAAATTAGTTTTTGCCCTCCCCAGCCCCCAGGAGCACTCTGCAGTCCTCCCAAATCCTCTGTGCATCCCTTTTTTGCGAAAAAGCAGCTCTCATTTTTCGCAAAAAAAGGGATGTGCAGAGGGTTTGGGAGGCCTGCAGAGTGCTCCTGGGGGCTGGGGAGGGCAAAAATGCAACGCATGTGGAGTTTGAGAGGTGAAAAATGGGGTGTGCAGAAGGTTTGAGAGGCCCGCAGAGTGCTCCTGGGGCTGGGGAGGGTAAAAACACAATGGGGGTGGTGGTTTAGGAGGTGAAAGTTTGCAAAAATGGGCCATTTTTCACAAAAAAAACAGGGCGCGCAGAGGGTTTGGGAGGCCTGCAGAGTGCTCCTGGGGGGTTTTGGCCTCCCCAAATCCCCCACATGTTGCGTTTTTGCCCTCCCCAGCCTCCAGGAGCACTCTGCAGGCCTCCCAAACCCTCTGCACATCCCGTTTTTGTGAAAAACAAGCCTATTTTGGGCAAAAATGGGACGTGTGGGGCAGGGTTTTAGGAGGCCAAAAATGGCTGTATTCAGTATATAATTCCACCCTCTTTTAGGGGGCATAAAAAGTGTGTTTTATACTCCAAAAAGTACGGTAAATACAATCCTTGTCCCTCCCTCTGATTTTTTACAAGGTATCCTCACCCGCACTAACCCATTGCAACGGGCTCTTAGCAAAATCAGTTATTTGGAGGCAGGCCTCAGTGAACTGCGCAAGATCAATTACAGGTAGTCCTCAACTTACAAGAGTCCGTTTGCTTAGCAACTGCTTTTCAAACTTGCCCCACCATTGCAGCATCTGCAGTGGGTTCTTTTAGAGAGTCGTTGAGGCCGCTTGGAGGTTTATCTGCGTCCTCAGGGTCACCTGAGTAGCGCAAATGGGGTGTGGAGCCTTTTTGGATCTGCTGAAAGGACTTTGTTATAGGCCGGAGATAGATGGTGTACATTGGGGAAACAAAACAACCACTTCACAAACAACATAGGAGAACAAACCCATCAGGACAAAATCCAGCAATCCATCTGCATTTAAAGGACAAAGGCCGCTCTTTTGGAGACAGCAAAGTCCACATTTTGGACAGAGAGGACCTCTGGTTGAAAGAGGGGTCCAAGAGGCCATCTGTGTCCAAATTGAACAGCCCTCCCTCAACTGAGATGGGGGGATACAACATCACCTATCTCCAGCCTACAACACAGTCCTTTCAGCAGTTCGACACCCATTTGTGGAAACACAGACTTCCAAGTGGTCTCAACGACTCTCTAAAAAGGATGCAAATGACCAGCTGTCTGCAAGGAGTATCAATCCTTCCATTCCTCACCATCCAATCTGAGCTGAAGAAGCTTCTTGGATGAGAAGCGAAATGTCTTCATAAAGAAAAACCAGAAAGTCCAGTTGCCTCTTGAAAAAAGCATCTTTGGGAACAACCAGGACCTGGATGATTGAGAATCTCCAGAGACATTTCTGGCCCTTTCTGCTCAGTCTCATGTTTGCTATCTACAAGTCCTCGATTTAACAACAGTTCATTTAGTGACCGTTCAAAGTTACAACGGCACTGGAAAAAAGTGACCTACAACCATTTTTCACGCTTAAGGGCAGAAGTCTTCAAACCTGGCAGCTTTAAGACATGTGGACTTCAACTCCCAGAATTCTCCAGCCAGCTATGCTGTGCATACACAGATAAAGCAGTAGATAGTATTGTATTTGTTTATTGAATAGCCCGAAGGCCTTTTCAAACAAAACAGAAAAGAAAAAGGGAAAAAGACAAAACAGTTACAGAAATAACAATCTAAAAATATATGATATATGACATTAAAATTCTACAATATCAGATTTCAATAGCTAAGTTGCCAAGACTAGATAACCCAAATAAGATAGCTCCTCTCTAACTCAGCTCATCTTTCTTACAATCAATGACATTCTTTTCGATATAACTGGCTCGTATTGCTGTCATCCTTTTAAGATAGCGAGTGATAGCCCTTACCAGGGGAGGAGAGTCAGCCCTCAACAGAAATGCTAATTTATGCCTTATATTCCAGTGCGGAAATTTATTTATAATTGGGGACAGATATTGTTTTCTTGCTTCCTCATATAGCCTACATTCAAATATTATATGTGCCGTGTCCTCCACGACGTTTGCCCCACATATGCATGTTCTTTTGTCATACGGGATTTTCCGGTAACGGCCAAATTTAACGTTGGTATCTAAAAGTTCGAACCTAAACTTAACAAATAACTGTCTCTCCACTGATGGCATTTCTAGATGTAAATACTTTTCCAAGGTGAAAGTTGTTTTAACTGCTGTCAGCAGTTTAAGGGAGTGATTAGTTGAAAGGGTTGCCATGTCCATTTGCCCGTGTATATCTTTAATCCGTTGTTTAACTCAGTAGGTAGTAAAACAATAGTCCAGGGATATTCCAACAACAAAGTCTTCTTACCAGTTGTCGAAGTCATACACAATAAACCGTTGCAAACAGTAGCAAAAACAGCAAATAGCAGTAACGATCAGCAAAGAGAAACAAACCATGTTTCAAGCTCCCTCTTAAGGACATTGGCTACAGAGCTAACCAATCAGGACACAGTAAGAGGCAATACCGCAATACAGTTTAAATATTTTTTACAAGGTTTTAGTTGAAGTCCACAAGTCTTAAAAGCTGCCAAGTTTGAAGACCTCTGCTTAAGATGGTTGCAGATTCCCCAAGGTCATGTGATCAAAATCCAGGTGCTTAGCGGCATCCCAAGGTCACATGATCCCCTTTTGCAATCTTCTGAGAAGCCAGGTGCACTTAACGAGTTGCTATGAACAACTGCACGATCGACTTTACCAGCTGCGGCAAAAGGTCATAAAATGAGGCAGAACGCACTTAGCGGCCATCTTGTTTAACGACAAAACTTTTGAGCTCAATTGCGGTTATGGATCAAGGATGACGACACTTTGCTTAGTGACCATTCAAAGTTGCATTGGCACTTTGATAAAAGTGACATGATGGTTTTTCACACTTAACGACCGTTGTAGCAGTCCCCCTTGGTCGTGTGAGCAAAATTCAGACCTTTGAAAACTGACTCACATTTATTGGTTGCGTTTATTATAGTTGCAGTGTCCTGGGGTTTTTGCAAGCACCTCTTTTGTGACCTTCTTACAAGCAAGGTCAGTGGGAAAACCCCATTCACTTAACAGCCATGTGAATAATTTAACCACTGCAGTGAGTCATTTAACGACTGTGGCAAGAAAAGTCGTAAAAATGGGGCAACGTTCACTCAGCAACAAACTTTCGAGCTCAATTGTGGTTGTAAGTCAAGAACTATCTGTACCTCTCACCCTTTTCCACACCCTGTTGTGCCAATGTGGCTCTTGCAGCAGCCGGAGTTTGCAGGTGGGTAGCACCATGTGAAGACATCCTGGGGGGCCAAAAAATAATGGAGACCCTCTTTCTCTGGGAGTAAAAGGTAAAGGTTCCCCTCGCACATCTGTGCTAGTCGTTCCTGACTCTAGAGGGCGGTGCTCATCTCCGTTTCAAAGCCGAAGAGCCAGCGCTGTCCGAAGACGTTTCCGTGGTCATGTGGCCGGCATGACTCAACGCCAAAGACACACGGAACGCTGTTACCTTCCCACCAAAGGGGGTCCCTATTTTCCTTCTTGCATTTTTTTACGTGCTTTCAAACTGCTAGGTTGGCAGAAGCTGGGACAAGTCACGGGAGCTTACCCCATTATGCGGATTACACTAACCGCTAAACTACCGACCTTTCAATCGACAAGCTCAGCGTCTTAGTCATTGAGCCACCGTTCAGTATAGGAGACTTCTAACCTGCACATCCATTCTTCGTTGCGACACAACGAGTCACGGCAGTGATCCACTTAACAACCATGGCTGTCCATAACTGACCAGAGTGTTTGTTTTTTTGGGGGCCACTCATGCATTTAACGGGGAGTCTTACACGAAGCCTGAAATCAAAGAGGAAATGATGTCTTTAAAAAAAAAGTTTATATATATATATATATATATATATATATACACACATACACACATACATACATACACACACACACACACACACACACACATATACACTGTCCGAGTCACCGGCTAGATTATTATTATTTTTTTTATTTTTTAATTTGATTTATATGCCGCCCTTCTCTGGAGACTCAGGGCGGCTTACAATGCGTTAAGCAATAGCCTTTATACTTTTGTATATTTATACAAAGTCAGCTTATTGCCCCCACAATCTGGGTCCTCATTTAACCTACCTTAGAAAGGATGGAAGGCTGAGTCAACCTTGAGCCTGGTAACATTCGAACCTGCAGAAATTGCAGGCAGCTGTGTTAATAACAGGGTGCATTAAACCACTGTACTACCAAGGCCAAAACGTTTAAAAACATGTCTGCTAAATGTTGGAAATGTAACCAAACTCCAGGTACATATTATCACATGTGGTGGACGTGTCCAAAAGCAAAAAAAAAAAAAAGGACGAAAATGCCTATGTGGTTAGAAAAAAAATATTAAAGCAGCATATAGTTTATAAACCAGAATTATTTTTGTTAGGCATATTACCAGAGAAATACGATAAAGAGAAAGTATGTTTAATATTACTTGCTTTGACAGCAGCAAAGAATTGTGTTTGCGCAAACACTGGAAAAATGAGGAAACACCCCCAGAAGAAGAAATAATTTTTTAAAAAATACTAAACTGTGCAGAAATTAACACTTAACATTGAAGATAAAAAGAAGACTCAGAATATATTTGAACTTGGATCGGTTGGATAATAGAGGAAAAAACTAAGAGTTTAATATTGTCATGAAATGATCATTATCTTGAATAAACGTGGCGGAAAGCTGCTTCCTCCAGAGCTGCTCCCTCCGTATCAACGTCCACATTGCATGCCGTATCCTGCTTTACCCAATAATGGAAAATCAATGTTTGCCCCTCAACGTGACTCACGGTTATATTCGAGCCCTTTCTAAATATTTGACCTGGGAAGACCTGCCAAAGGGAAACACGGTGTGGTGTGCGTGGAGCAACAATCACGAAACGGCTCGGGGAGGGGTGGGGGGGAAGAGAATTTTCCCTGCCACTTCCCCGTTGCGCAACGCTTCGCTTTTTGTCCACGGTCACCTCTGACGTAGGGCTGGGAAGGATGGGTGGTTCCAGGGGCATTTATAAGGGACAACGCCAGGGCCAACCACATACACAATCAAGAGAGACCGACCTTTGCCATCCTAAAGCGGGAGGATTTGTTGCATTCCACACAACAGCATGGATGACCTTCTCCAGCGGTGGCCCCGGTGGAAAATTCACAAAGGTGAGACCCAAATCAGGGGGGGTAAAAACTGAAATTCAGCATTGCTTTTAAACTTGAGAGCACGCTACGTGTTTGTTAGATAGATAGATAGATAGATAGATAGATAGATAGATAGATAGATAGATAGATACCGTGTTTTCCCCAAAATAAGACCCTGTCTTACATTTTTTTGAACCCTGAAATAAGCGTTTGGCCTTATTGCCATGCTCTCAAAAGCCCGATTGGGCTTATTATCAGGGGAGGTCTTATTTTGGGGGAAATAAGGTAGATAGATAAGATAGATGAGAGATAAGAGATTGAGAGAGAGAGAGATGGATGGATGGATGGATGGATGGATAGATAGATAGATAGATAAGATAGATAGATGGATAAGGTAGGTAGGTAGGTAGGTAAATAGATAGAAATATATACACTGCTCAAAAAAATAAAGGGAAGACAAGCAGAAGACATCCGAGATCTGAATGAATGAAATAGCCTTATTAAATACTTTGTTCGTTACATACAGTCGTTTTGTGTTCCCTTTAGTTGTTTGATCAGTGTATAAACTACTGTATGTAAAGAACAAAGTATTTAATAAGGCTATTTCATTCATTCAGATCTCGGATGTCTTCTGCTTGTGTTCCCTTTATATATATGTGTGTGTGTGTGTATGTATGTGTGTATATGTATATGTATATGTATATGTATGTCTTTGGTTGACCTCAAACTCAGAAAACAAATATATAGATAGAGAGAGAGCGACATAGATACCGTGTTTTCCCGAAAATAAGACCCTGTCATATTTTTTTGAACCCCGAAATAAACATTTGGTCCTATTTTCAGGGAGGTCTTATTATATTTTGGGGCGCTTGGAGCAAAATGGGGCTCCTCTTGCCTCTTACCTGATTTCCAGCTCTGCGTTTAAATATTTTTGGAGAGAGCTTATTTTTGGAGGGAGGCTTATTTTAGTGCATGCGCTCAAAAGCCTAGTCGGGCTTATTATCAGGGGAGGTCTTATTTTCGGGGAAACAGGGTAGATGGATGGAGGGATGGGATGGGATGGGATGGGCTAGGCTAGGCTAGAAGATAGATAGATAGATAGATAGATAGATAGATAGATAGATAGATAGATAGATAGATAGATAAGATAGACAGAATTCTTTATTGGCCAAGTGTGATTGGACACAGAAGGAATTTGTCTTTGGTGCATATGCTCTCAATGTACATACAATAAAAGATACGTTCGTCAAGAATCATAAGGTACAACACTTAACGATAGTCATAGGGAACAAATAAGCAATAAGGAAACAATATCAATATAAATGATAAGGATACCAGCAACCAGGTTACAGTCATACAGTCATAAATGGGAGGAGATGGGTAATAGGAATGATGAGAAGATTAATAGTAATAGTAATACAGACTTAGCGAATAGTTTCACAGCATTGAGGGGATTATTTGTGATGGCATTCGGGAAAAAACTGTCCTTGTGTCTAGTAGTTCTGGTGTGCTCTATAGCCTCGTTTTGAGGGTAATTTCCAGATATGAACTAAAATTTGGCTCACTGCTTTGTGGTTTAATAGTGTCAAACCCACCTATGATGGTTTGCAAACAATGGCTTATTCAGCTAATGACCCCAGTCAACGGTATTTGGATTCAAGATATGGTGGCTAAACAAACTGTGACTTTAATGTAATGTGTAAGAGGCCAGGGGTCTATAGATTTTGCATAAATTACAAAAGGGAGGAAAATTATTCATGTTTAAGCTGGAGGGAGCATGTAGCACATTGCCTACACGTACATAATATATTTCTCTTGATTGCTGGGCCACTTTGTACTGCACTGGTGAGACCCCAGTTCGAATTCTGTCTCTGGTTTTGGTTAACACGCTATAAAAAAAGACGTTGAGACTCTAGAAAGAGTGCAGAGAAGAGCAACCAGGATGATGAAGGGACTGGAGGCTAAAACATACGATGAACGGTTGCAGGAACTGGGCCTGGCTAGTCTAGGGAAGAGACAGGAGAGCATCTTCTGATATTTGAGGGGCTGCCCCAGAGAGGAGGAAGGGGGTCAAGCTATTCTCCAAAGCACCCGAAGGCCAGACAAGAAATAATGGATGGAAACTAACCAAAGAGAGAAGCAACCTAGCATTAAGGAGAAACTTCCTAATAGTGAGAACAATTAACCAGTGGAACAGCTTGCCACCAGAAGTTAGGAGTGCTCCATCATGGGAGGCTTTTAAGAAGAGAATATAGGGTCTGAAATAGCACAGGGTCTCCTGCTTGAGCAGGGGGTTGGACTAGATGACCTCCAAGGTCCCTTCCACCTCTATTATTCTGTATTCTGTATCTAGTTTTGATCTCCACGGTACATAAAAAAAAAGATGTGGAGAGTCTGGAAAGAGTGCAGAGAAGAGCAACAAGGAGGATTAGGGGACTGGAGGCTAAAACAGACGATGAATGGTTGCAGGAACTGGGCCTGGCTAGTCTAGTGAAAAGAAGGACTGGGGTGACATGACAGCAGTCTTCCAATATTTGAGGGGCTGCCACATAGAAGAGGGAGTCAAGCTATTCTCCAAAGCACCTGAAGGCAGGACAAGATGGAAACTAATCAAGGAGAGAAGCAACCTGGAATTAAGGAGAACGTTCCTAACAGTGAGAACAATTAGCCAGTGGAACTGCTTGCCACCAGAAGTTGTGGGTGCTCCAATACTGGAGGTTTTCAAGGAGACTGGACGGCCATTTGTCCAGAACAGTATAAGGTTTCCTGCTTGAGCAGGGGGTTGGACTAGATGACCTACAAGGTCCCTTCCAACTCGTTATTCTGTATGTGCACAATAACATTGAACTACAAAGGAATCAATTGGTTTATAAAACACGTTGAATTACAAAAAAAATATATGCCAGTTTAATGCTAACCAAGTCTAACATTCTATGTGAGTGCTAAGTTGCAACCGAACTGGTTTGCGAACATAAAACTCTCACCAAAAACAGAGCCCATTTATTTGTCCCAGACCTAAACCTGTGTGCTCCTACTATTAGCATCTTCCACAGGCATCGTTTAGTGAAGTTAGAAACATGCAGACAGAGGGCGTTCCTTTAATGGCAATTTAAATGATGGAGACCAATTTTTACCTTCTTCATATCCAATTCACAATTCTGCCAACGGCAAGGAAAAGTGGCTAGCTGATATAGAACATGGCTCATCTCAAAATGATAAATTGTTTAGCCATCATTTCGTGAAGTGGCCACCTGTGCAGTTAGTAGCTGATTCCGACAGCGAGGAGGCTGGTATGGCGATGTGCCAGCAGCCTGTGCAGCTGGCGCTCGAGTTGGACAGTGAGGAGGCTGGAGAAGATGTGGTGCCAGAGGGGGGGACTCAGCCAGGGCCTTCAGAACCTCCCATAAGTGAAGAGGAAGAAGAGGAGGAGCCTCTTCTCGATGCACGAGCGCGCAGAGCTGCCAAAAGGCAGGAGTGGCTCCTCAGGAAGAGGTCTCCTCGAGAGTAAGGCTTGGGGCTAATTGGCCACTCCCTTAGCCTATTTAAGGAAGGACAACAACGACTGATGCAATTTGCAGGAAACAACTTCGTTCATATTCCTTCACGTCTTGATTCCAGAAATGTTTGATTCGGCTCTTGTTTCTCTCGTCAGTTTTCCTGCAAATTGCTTCTGGGCATTCTGCCAACCACAGTAAGATTACGGTTATCTGAAAGAGTGCGCCTCAGAATTGAGTTATTATTCTTTGGATTCTTGTCAGCTGTTAATGAAGTTAAATTAACAGCCCTTGTTCAGAAAAGACTGATTTAAACTGTACTTATGTTCGAACTACTACTAAGAAAACTCGTTAGTAGTCCTTCATTAGTAAACTAAGGTTTGTATGGACTTTGTGTGTGCTGCGTTCTTTGAGGTCCGTAGCTGGGGCAGAACACCACCAAAGCTTGGATTTATACATTACGCTACGTTAAACCCAAATCTAGTTGTTGTTGTTTTCCAAAACATTAAGCCAAAACGAAAGAAACTAAACCATGGCTTAGTGTCATGGAGGCAATAAGAAAGCTTTGCAGTCAAGAATGGCAATAGTAACTTAGACACCCATCTAAGTCAAGTTATCTATTTATTGCTAAGTTTAATAAAGTGTCCTGCCTTGGGCAGAGAAGTTGGACTAGAAGACCTCCGAGGTCCCTTCCTGCCTGAAAATTCTATGATTCTAACCACTGGTGGGATTCAGCCAGTTCGCACCTATTCGGGAGAACCGGTTGTTAACTTTCTAAGCAATTCGGAGAACCGGTTGTTGGAAGAAACCTTATTTTGTTTTGTTTCCACTTTACAGGGCTAATCCTGTAAGGAATTACAACATTCTGGTGTTGTTTCTAGCCTAATTTTTTTGCCCTGCTTACAGAAACTGCCTCTCTGGTTAACCCTTATTACATTGTAACAGCTAAGGCGATCGATGTGAGTGACGTCGAGTTGGCCATGCCCACACGGTCACATGACCACCGAGCCATGCCTACCCAGATGGTCATTAGGGCAGAGAACCGTTTGTTAAATTATTTGAATCCCACCACTGATTCTAACACATTAGACAAATGTTTCTCAACCTTGGCTACTTTAAGATGTGTGGACTTCTGGGAGTTGAAGTCCACAGGTCTTAAAAGAATTCTGGGAGTTGAAGTCCATATGTCTTAAAGCAGCCAAGGTTGAGAGACACTGAACTGGACACTAATCCCATGGAGTTGAGTTGCATGGTCTACCAACAAGCCATGTGATCAATTGTTAAGGCTCCGACCAACCAATGGATTCCTAGAAAGAGCAATTTTGTAGTGGCAATAAGAATAGGAAGCTAATCAATCCCTTTCCTTTCTTTCTTTCTTTTCTTCATTCCAGTCTCCATCAGCGCAATCGTGTTCGTCTTGGCAGCCTTGAGTTCGGCCACAGATGCGTTTTTCCGATGCTCCACAACCAAAATCAACAACCGCCTGGTGGCCAACTGCCAAGGCCAAAGGCTCAAGGCCACACCCAACGTGGACGTGTCCACTCAAGTCTTCTTGTTGAATTTCAATCTCTTCACCACCATCCAGACGTCTTCGTTCCCACAGTTGAGTGCCCTGAAGATGCTGTCGTTGGGGAAACAATTGGGAGGTCCTCTCTATGTTGGAGAAAGGGCCTTCGCGAATGTGTCCAACATCACCTTCCTAGATTTGGGGGGCAACAGAAACCTGTCGTTGCATCCCAAAGCGTTCCAAGGTTTGACCAAACTCAAGGTATTACACTTGGACAATAGTGATTTTGACAACAGAATCCTGGAGATGGGCTACTTCCAAGACCTTTTATCACTGGAAACCTTGGATCTTCGTGGAAACCACCTTCATCGGTTGACCGCAGATCCAACCTTCCAAGGACTGAAAAAATTAAGCGTCCTTCAGCTGAATCTCAACAAAATCGGGGCAATTTGTGGGGACGACCTCCAATATCTCAGAGGGCGTCATTTGACCTTCCTTGACCTGTCCTCCAATCGATTGTCCAGAGATCGTCCTTCTTCTTGCGCCAACCCGTTTCTCAACATCACCCTGGGCACCTTAGACATCTCTTCAAACCCATGGGACGTGGCCCGAGTCGAAGACTTCCTCAAAAGCCTGAACGGTACAAGGATCCAGAACCTCAAGGTGCAACATTCAGGAGCCATCGGCAGTGGGTTCGGGTTCCAGAACTTGAAGGACATTTCAGCCACCACGTTCTCGGGGCTGCGTCACAGCCGCATCCGGACTTTCGACATGTCCCATGGTTTTCTCAACACCCTGAACGCCTCCGTCTTCTCAAGCTTGCCAGATCTCAACACCTTGCTCTTGAGATCCAACCAGATTAATAAGATTCAAAAGGGGGCATTTTCAGGATTAAGCAAGCTCCAGGTTCTGGATCTGTCCAACAATCTCCTCGGGGAGCTATACACGGAAGGACTGAAGGATTTGAAGTCCTCTCCTTTACGACGTCTGATTCTGAAGTCCAACCACATCGGGATTGTTCAGCATGACGCCCTGATGGGTCTAAAATCTTTGCAGTTCCTTGACCTGCAAGACAACGCTCTTGACCGAGTTCCCAATGGGAATCTCCCTTCCTTGATGAGTCTTAATTTGGGACAAAACAGGATCCAGAACACCTGGGGCATAGAAAAACTTGGCCCAAACCTGGTCCATCTTGATCTCTCCTCCAACCGTCTGAAGGACCTGGGGAACGTCTGGCATCAGCTCGCAGAGATTCCCTCCTTAAAGTTTCTGAATCTCTCCGGCAACCACCTGATGTGGTGTTCACGAGTCCAGAAGTCTCCGAGGCAACTTACACAACTGGACCTTTCCCACAACAATCTGGGAGACATTTGGGCCACCCAGAAATGCACCGACCTCTTCCAGCATCTGGGGAAACTCCGGGTGTTGAATCTCAGCTCCAATCACCTTCGGGACTTGCCTGGAAACCTTTTCCAGAGTTTGACATCTTTAGAAATCCTGGATCTCGGGGCCAACAGGTTGCACAAATTTCCAGAACAGATCTTCCGTAGTTTGAAATCCCTGCGTGGTCTCAGTATCCGTGGAAATCCGCTGATGACCCTCTCGCCCTCCACGTTTCAACCAATGGGGCAGCTGCGATTCCTGGATTTGAGGGAACTGTCCTTAGTTTGCAGTTGCGAGCTCAAAAATTTCAACAACTGGCTGCAGAACCACAACGCAACTGTGAAGGCACCTGAGCTGCTCCTGACTTGCATTCAGACCAGCTCCAATTTCCAGAGGCAGCCCCTGCCTCAGTTCCTACACAAGTGTGTCTCTTAAGACAAAAGACACGTCCCCTTTGTGTGCAACAGGTTTTGGAGAGTTTGAACAAAATGTCTACCATGTCCTGAAAATCCAGCAGAGAGAACAATTTGCTGGAAAAGAGGGAATTGTAATTGCAATGCAAATAGTCCTCGACTTAGGACCACATTTGAGCCCCAAATTTTATGTGTCTAAGCAAGACAGGCAAATTTTGGCCTGTTTTACCACCTTTCTTGCAGTTAAGTGAAATCATCGCAAGTGTTATGTGAGTAACAGAGTTAAGTGAATCTGGCTTCCCACATGGATTTTGTCAGGTTGCAAACAGGGGTCATGTGACATTAGGAATACTGCGGCCGTCATAAATAGAAGCCAGTTGCCAAGGATCTGGATTTTGATCCTGTGTCCATGGGATGCTGCAACGGTTGTGTGAAAAAGTTGCAAGTCCTTTTTTTTCAGTGCCATTGTTAACTTTGAACATTCAGTAAATTAACCGCTGTAAATCGAGGACTACTGTACAGTACAAAATATGTATAAATCATTTTATTGCAATGGAAGCGAATGGGAAAAAATAAGAGGCGGATTCATTATTTGTCTACGTTGCAACGATCTGAGCTGAGCTTTGTATATTTGTAAATAAACCAACACTTTAGAAAATAACATTCTGCCTAATAACTTCTTTCAAAAGAAATAGGTAAAGGTAAAGGTAAAGGTTCCCCTCGCACATATGTGCTAGTCGTTCCCGACTCTAGGGGGCGGTGCTCATCTCTAGGGGGCCGAAGAGCCAGCGCTGTCCGAAGACGTCTCCGTGGTCATGTGGCCGGCATGACTCAACGCCAAAGGCGCACGGAACGCTGTTATCTTCCCACCAAAGGTGGTCCCTATTTTTCTACTTGCATTTTCTTTTACCTGCTTTCGAACTGCTAGGTTGGCAGAAGCTGGGACAAGTCACGGGAGCTCACCCCATTACGGGGCAGCACTAGGGATTTGAACTGCTGAACTGCCAACCTTCCAATCGACAAAATCAGCGTGTTAGCCACCGTGTCCTTCAAAGAAAATAAAACCAGGTTTAATTGCCAGTCTTGGAAACTTTAAATGGGCATGGAATTAAGGGGGAAGAGTAATTCTTAAAGGTATCCTATGGTGCTTCCTGCTATTGGCTGTATCCACACAAAATATTAAGCCAAGATTTGCTTAACAGGATGACTGAAGAAGTCACATTTGGGCCCGATCACCCAAGACGCCCACCTCAAATCATTGCATACTGGCGCAGAATTTCCACTCAGATCAAAGTCGGGCAGAGGCCAGAAATAACAAAAAATTGTGATTTTCACAGGCATAATTGGAGGATACAAAAACTTGTCATACGTGAAGAGAAACAGACTTATTAAGAGGACAGGCTTGGCTAGAGTGAAGGTTTGGCAAAAGCGTATTCCTGAATGTAGAAGGGACCTTGGAGGTCCTCTAGTCCAGCCCCCTGCTCAAGCAGGAAATCCTATACCATTTCAGACAAGTGGCTGTCTAGTCTCTTCTTAAAAACCTCGAGTGATGAAGCACCCAGTTTCTGGTGGCAAGCTGTTCCACTGATTAATTATCCTCACTGTCAGGAAATTTCCCCTTAATTCCAGGTTGCTTCTCTCCTTGATTAGTTTCCATCCGTCGTTTCTTGTCCTGCCTTCTGGTGCTTTGGAAAATAAAGCGACCACCCCACTTCTTTGTCGCAACCCTCAAAGTCCACTTATGACAATTGACCCCAAAATTTTGGTCGCTAATGACTGAACGGCAATACAGTTTTAAACGTTTGTCTTTAAAATGCAGTTGCTCAGTGAATGCATTTATAAAACACATTTCAGTGAATGCGTTTCAGTGCACAAAATTTCTTGCACGGAAATTGTGAAACAAAGAGTCTTAAGGCTGGAAAAAATATTTTAATTTATAGCCAGGTCAGCTGAAGAATGCAAAGAGAACTCACAAATATACCGTATATTTTATTTTATGCAAAGTTTTGACACGAGAACCCAACCCCCACAATAATTTATTAGTCTTAGACCAGAACAAATAAAAAATTCAGTATATAGACACTTAAAAGTTCTAGTATCAAGTAATAAATAATCTATAATAAAATCCAGTGTCCATTATACATGGTCTGAGTATATGATAATTGCAAATCCCTAAACTGTGTGGCCCGTTGTAGGTTCAACGCTAAAAGGGAAAAGGACAATGCAAAGGGTTTATTTATTTATTTTTTATTTATTCAATTTAAGACCCAGGGCGGCTCACAATACACTCAAAAAATCACTATAAAAACACTTAAAAATTAAAAACATTAAAACCCATTCACATCATTCATGGCCGGATCTCGTCAGATCGCAAAGCGAGATCAACGGCCCCAGGCCTGCCGGAAAAGCCAGATCTTCACCGCTTTTCGGAAGGCCGCAATTTGTTTGCCACAATTGTTATGTAACTTAACTATGATGGTAAAGAGACGCGTTTCCAATGAATCCCCCGTGTTACTGTGCAGAATTTGGCCACCTGCGCTGTAGTTATGGACCGTTCATCCTTAAAGCAGCCACTGGAGATAGGTAGTGTCGGAATGGCCAGGATACCTATCGATTATCGGATTTTTTTTCCTAATCTCCGTATAAAAGGAACATCTAAGGAGTATGTGACCCAGTCTCCACCTCTCTTGAGCCAATGGCGCAGAAGTGCATTTGAGACACAACGTGGCATCTGGAGAACTGATCTAATGAATTTGAACTCTTTCTAATGATGTAAAACACAAAGCAGACGGTCCAAGCAAGGTTTCGTGGCTAGCGACGTAGCCACGAAAAGCTAAATAGCAGCAGGGGCGTAGTATCCTCCCTTTTGTGCGGAAAAATTTTAAGGATGGCGCTCGCTGATCTTTGGCCCACGGCAGCTGCATATTCTCGGTGTGCTTTTCTTCAACCTTTGGCCTGAGTGGCCACCCCCAGGGATTTGAAGGTGATTTTACCTGCTCTATTTTGTGGCCGTTTGAAGTTTTGGCCTTTTTGCAAAGGCCACGATCTTTGTTTTCTCATAGTTTATGTCCAGTTTATTGTTAAGTACAGTACTGGATGGAGAAGGGCTCCCAAGGATCTTCTAAGGCCTACTGGTGTCCCGGAGAGGATCACAGCGGCATCTGCCTAGAGCCAGGAGGGTGATTCTTCGGTCACTTATTTTTGGAGGGTGTGAAGATTTGGTTCGTTTAGCCATTTTAACCATGTCGTTTATGTAAACGTTGACCTCGCTGTTGCGATCTTGTGAGATCCGGCCATGAATGGTGTGAATGGGTTTTAATATTTTAATTTTGAATGTTTTTATAATGGTTTTTTAAATGCATTGTAAGCCGCCCTGAGTCTCCGGAGAAAGGCGGCACTGGCTCCCGGTGGTCTTCCGGGTGCACTTCAAGGTGTTGGTTACCACCTTTAAAGTGCTCCATGGTATAGGGCCTAGCTGTCTTCGAGACCGTCTGCTGCCACCAACGACCTCCCACCGACCGGTGCGCCCCCACAGAGAGGGCCAAGCAATGTAGGCTGGTGACCCCCAGGGGGAGGGCCTTCTCTGTGGGGGCACCTACCCTCTGGAACCAGCTGCCCTCAGAGATAAGGAGAATCCAAGACCTCGGTGCCTTCCGCCGTGCCCTTAAAACTTTCTTTTTTCATCAAGCCGGGCTGGCTTAACATATTTTTAAATTTTAAATTTTTAATTGGTTTGTCATTTTAAACTGGGGCTAAATTAATATATATTCTTTTAATTGTTCTTAATGTTTGTATTGTATGTTTTTATCTGGCTGTACACCGCCCTGAGTCCCTTGGGAGAAGGTGCGGTATATAAATTTGAAATAAAATAAAAAATAAATATAAATTGGACTAAATAAAATAAATAAAAGCCAGGGAGGGGGACAAAATGCATCCCCGTTTAACCCCCTTTTTGAGTTTTAACTGACTTCGAGAGGGACCCTTGCATTTTACACCTCACCTTGAGGGATGTTTTAGTATGTAGGGCACATAATAGAAGAAAAAACCTGCGGTCAATTTGAGACAGCTTCCAACTTCTCGCATAACTTAGTCCTGGTAACCTTATCAAAGGCTGCCTTGAGATCTATAAAACCGGAGTATGATGATACAGGTCTATTTGTATGTATTTTTCAATCAGGTGATGACGAAGTAAGCACCGATCGGTAACCCTAACCCTATCCCAAGGATCTGCAACCTTAAACACTCAAAGAGCCATTTGGGCCCGTTTCCCACAGAAAAGAAAACACCGGGAGCCACAAAAACCTTCCCGTGCCTGACTATTTCTCGAGCGGCCACAAAACTAGCATATGTAGTTGAATTAAGCGTTCTGTTTTCTTCTGAAACTTTTCTTTTCTTGGATTTATCCATGATTTAAAAGCTCAATAAATCGTGTGCCAACGTCTTGTCGCATATTGGCGGTTGTGACGCGTATTTTGAGTGACAGGGAGCCGCAGCAAAAGGGCGAAAGAGCCACATGCGGCTCCAGAGCGCAGGTTGCTGACCCCTGCCCTAACCCATAAGGCAAATGCCACTAGTTTAGCTCAGCTCACTAAGCCGGGTACATAAATTGCACGTCACCGTGTTCGGTTCAGAGTTGAGTGTCGGTTAATTGGAAGAACCCTGAGCTACATTTAATTCGGACAAGAAATGTATTGAAGTTACCCAATTTGATAAACGAAGGTGAGGCGCCGTTTACTCATTCCTAGAGGAGTCCCCGTTATTCCAATACATCGTTGCCAATTCTTCTGCTTCCTCATCGTGATTTCTTTGGCATGGTTAGCAAGGAAGAATGGTTTTCCCTGCCTATTAAAACATCTCTGTGGAGGAAAAGCACAATGCAGAAATTTAGATATAATTCAAGCACGGATGCTAATTTCAGCTCACAGGTTTGCGTTCTGTGCATTTTGAGAACAGCCAGTCTCTTTAAAGACTTTTAAGTGTCACATTTGTTGGCTCTTTTAGAAATGTGCGACCCCGCAAAATTCAACCGTGTCACAGACGGCCAACCCATCTAAAGACACTTTTGAGTGAAGAAAGGTCATGTTAATATCTGATGACATAAAATCCCGCTGTTTGAGGCTTGCAGCAGTGGGAGGAACAGTCATCAAATCAAGCATTTATAAAACATTTTGTCTGCTTAAATCTCCAAGCTTGGGAACTTTAAGCTTTGCTGGCTGAGGAATTCTGGGAGTTGAAGTCCAGAAGTCTTAAAAGTTCCCAAGCTTGGAGATCCCTGGCTTAAATGCTGAAAGGCTGGTACCCATCACGCCCCTCTCCTCCCTCCATACTGTGCCTTCTTAAGATTGCGAGCCTGAGAAGGCGATGAAAATAACCCTCTATAACTATCCACTTCTATAACTATTTTTAATTAATTCTAGTCCATCAACAGCCTCTTCTTCAAATACAATCTTTTGTCTCTTATTAAACCAGGAGAAATGCATCAAGACTTACATTTTCAAAGTGGAGGGAAATTGTTTTCGCCCAATTCTTGCTGGAATCGTCAATCTTTAAAAAACAACAACACGGTAATTCTTGAGTTAGCAATCAAATACTTTTGATCTACTGGCAGTCAAAAAAAAAAAATCTGTAATACAGCAACCGTCCTGCTCTTCACCTTTTATTGTCAAAGGCAGTTCAGAGTGAGACATTTTCAATGTTAAAGGAGAATATTGATATACCGTATTTTTCGGACTATAAGACGCACCTGAGTATAAGACACACCAAGATTTCGAAGAGGTAAGTTAAGGAAAAAAAATGTTTTTTTTTTGTGTTCCCCGGCTCCTAGGAGCACTCTGCAGGCCTCCCAAACCCTCTGCGCAATACATTTTTTTTGAAAAACAGGTCTGTTTTTGGCAAAAACGGGATGCGCAGGGCGGGGTTTTGGGAGGCCAAAAATGGCTGTATTTGGTGTATAAGACTCACCAACATTTCCACCTTTTTTGGGGGGGGAAAGTGTGTTTTATACTCTGAAAAGTATGGTATTTATTTATTGGTTTAGCTTTTGGGCCATTATTAAAATAAAGGAGAATATTTGTAGCTCAGGGTTGAAATTAGAGTTCCTTGGTGCTCTCTGAACTTGGTAATAACAACCAAGCTCAGACAGCACCAAGGAGCTCTCATTTTCAATTTTGTTTCTATACTTCAAAGCCCTTTGCGGTGTCCCACGGCCACCTGATTGCAATTTACGTGTTTGCAGAAAACTGGGGTTTACTTCTGCTTTTCAAACATGGGTTCGCTTAACAAACACAATTTTTTTCCCCCATTGAGTTGGTGTTGTGGCCCGTCAGCGGTCTGTGCAGCTAGTAGCTGATTCCGACAGCGATGAGGCTGGTGTGGTGCTGCGCCAGCAGCCTGTGCAGCTGGCACTCGAGTAGAACAATGAGGCTGGAGAAGATGTGGTGCCAGAGGCGGGGATTCAGCCAGGGCCTTCAGAACCTCCAGAAGCTCCCTTAAGTGAAGAGGAAGAAGAGGAGGAGCCTCTTCTTGATGCACGGGTGCGCAGAGCTGCCAAAAGGCAGGAGTGGCTCCTCAGGAGGAGGTCTCCTCGAGAGTAAGGCTTGGGGCTAATTGGCCACTCCCCTAGCCTATTTAAGGAAGGATGACGACTGATGCAATTTGCAGGAAACTTAGTTCACATTCCTTTGCGTCTTGATTCGGCTCTTGTTTCTCATCAGTTTTCCTGCAAATTGCTTCTGGGCATTCTGCCAACCACAGTAAGATTATGATTATTTATTCTTTGGATTCTTGTAGGCTGTTAAGAAAGTTAATTAACAGCCTTTGTTTGAAAAAGACTGATTTAATTTAGTAAACTAAGGTTTGTACAGACTTTGTGTGTGCTGCGTTCATTGGGGTCCGTAGCTGGGGCAGAACAGTTAGTTACATGAGTAACCCACTTTACAATAGTCACAACTTTAAAATGGCAATGAGTAGGCTCCGTTAGGGTCCTTACATCGAGGGCAACCTGTAGGTCTCCCTTTTTTTCCAGTGCCACTGTAACTATGAACGGCCACTAAAAAGGAACTGTTGTAAGTCAAGGACTACCTTTAATTTCGCCCAAGAGGGATGAGTTTAAGAGCTAACACCATCCCCGTGAAGACAGCGGTGTCCAAAAGCAGGCTCTGCTCAGGGCATGTTTCTAATCATGGTTTATCAGGTGAAACACGGACAGAACATGCAGTTCATCATAGCAGACCATCGAAAATCCTATTTATATTTCCACGTTAAAAAAAAAACACCCAGAAGCCAATAAAAAAAATCGAGATACCTTTTTCCATCCTCTTCATACGAAATATACTGAACTCCCGAAGAATCGGTGACTTCCAGAATTCGTTCAGTCCATCTTGCGATGCAGCTGCTCCCTCAAGACGCCGCGGCACTCAAGCTCTAAAAGAAAAAGATCAAATATCAGAAAATACGTTTGCTCGTTTAGAACCTTGATACCGTCTAAAAATGTTGTGGCCCGCCAGCTGTCAGTGGAGCTGGCGACAGACTCGGACAATAGGGAGGAACTTGGGTCAGTTCTGAAGTCTGGAGAAGGCTCTGATGGATGCTCTGTGTCGGACGCAGAGATAGAGCCAGGGCCGTCTAACATTTCCCAGCCGCTGGAGAGGCAGCTGCCTTCGGAGGCTGAGATGAGTGAGGAGGAGGAACAGGTGGGGCCTGTTCCAGATGCACGTATGCGCAGAGCAGTTAGGAGAGGTGAGCAACGGAGGACAAGGAGTCGACACAGGAAGCAAAGCACATGTGGGTGCTGAATGGCCCCTCCCTAGCTGGGGAATAAATAGAAGGAAAGGTGAGGGGTGGTCGTAGGAGACAACCGTTCGTATTTCTGGAGATTTTGCTCATTGTAATTGCAAGTAGAGGATTACCTGTATTCTCTCAAACAATGACTCTTGGGGTCAGATTGTCTAGAATTAGTTTTTTTCAAGTAATTTTGATACGCCTTTCTACATATTGTAAGATTGTTTCTTGCATTTGGCAATAACATCTACGTATATAAAAATGGCTATGTATGTGTCTATGTTCCAACATAACTCTGGAACGCCTTGAGCAATTTCAACCAAACTTGGTACACAAATGACTTACTCTCTGGAAACAAATACTGTGCGGATAAGACACCCCTAACACCACTCAGTGTGTGTTCTGTTAAGATACAGCCTGTTGTGCCTTAAAATGGCTTCTACTGCACTGCCTTAAAATGGCTTCTACTGTACTGCTTTAAAATGGCTTCTACTGCACTGCCTTAAAATGGCTTCTACTGTGCAGCACAGTGGAGATGCCATGGTAATGGCTTCACAGTACTTCACAAGGGAGCTCCCTCTAGTAAGGAAGAAAATCCAACATTAGAAATTACGTTTGGTCCGGACATTTTCAACAAGGCTTTGATTATTCTTGAGGACAAATGTATGGCCATGATCAATAAAACATTACTGCAACTCGGCCTGCCTGCACCACTACAAGATCGACATGACGTACTTCACACAGATTATATATGAGAAAAGAACTACAACGTCGAACAGCGTAGTGCATATATCGTGGACAAGAAGCCACTTCTAAATCAAGATCAGAAAAAAAGCATACCAAATGATCATGGATCAGGTAGCAAAACAAGATGGTATCATTTTACTTGATGCTTGTCCGGGCACGGGGAAAACATTCATAACTAATTTAATTCTCGCCGAAATCAATTGCTCTTCTAATCCTGTCTAATACAGGATTGGGATAAATAAATACCCAGGCAACACTGAGTTATCAGCTAGTTAAAAATAAAAGTGCATTTCATATACTGTAAACCGAGGTGGCTATTTTTATTCTCTAGAGCAGTGTTTTTTAACCATGGTGACTTTTAAGATGGGTGGACTTCCAACTCCTAGAATTCCCCACCCAGCATGCTTCAAGATAGATGGACTTTAATTCCCAGAATTCCCCAGTCATTGTTTTAAGACATGTGGCCTACAACTCCCAGAACGTGGCTGATGGGAATTCTGGGAGTTGTAGGCCACGTGTATTAAAACACAACTGGGGAATTCTGGGAATTAAAGTCCATATATCTTGAAGCATAGTGGCTGGGGAATTCTGGGAGTTGTAGGCCACATCTTAAAACACAGACTGGGGAATTCTGGGAGTCGAAGTCCATATATCTTAAAGCATGGTGGCTGGGGAATTCTGGGGGTTTATTTATTTATTGGTTCGATTTATATGCCGCCCTTCTCCAGAGACTCAGGGTGGCTTACAATGCGTTAAGCAATAGCCTTCATACTTTTGTATAGACCTGCTTAGTAGGGCTTTCGGCCCCCCCCCCCAAGCGGTGTTCTTTTTTATACAAAGTCAGCTTATTGCCCCCACAATCCGGGTCCTCATTTTACCTACCTTGGAAGGATGGAAGGCTGAGTCAACCTTGAGCCTGGTGAGATTCGAACTTGCAGTAATTGCAGGCAGCTGATGTTACTTAACAGCACTTTAATCTGCTGCACCACCCATTTTAAAGTCACCAAATTTGAAAAACACTGCTCTAGAAGCACAATCTATAATTCCATAAAGTTCGTAACATTAGAAGCACAGAAATGCCCCTTCACCCAGGCCTTACCCAAACAGACGAGAAAGAAAGAAATCTTGTTTTGCAGATCCAGAAGATGCTAGTTTTCCGTAAAGGGACACAACTGCCCCCCACAAGGAGGGGCCTCAAAAACAGACAAACCATTTTCACGCTGTAAAAAACAAAGGAAAAAGGGTCAATGCAGCTCTGAAATATAGCTCACGTTTTCGAGCAACACAATGCATTTTTGTATTGTTATTATTGTATTCATTTTACTTCTTTAACATAACCCACAGTAACAGGTTTGAAAAAAGGGTTTATTACATCAATCATATATATTAAATTGTCTTATACTTTATAAATCTCAATATATTGTATATTATCCTATATATTATAGTTTGCCGTACATTAATTTTTATGCTTATATACTTACTTATCCCTTCCTATGGGATTTGTTTTGTAAAATTTGGTTTTTATATTTATTTTAGTTTCGTTAACTGTGTATTTTGTATAGATTATCCTACGGTATATATTATAGTTTGCCATATATTAATTTTCATGTTTATATATTTACCCGTTTTTTTTAAATCATATTTTAGTTTTGTTAACTGTGTATCTTGTATATATTATGCTATATATCGTTACAATTTAAGTTTGCCATATATTAATTTTTTTGTTTATTTACTGATCCCTTTGTATAGCTTTGTTTTTTTTAAAAAAAATTGGTTTTTATATTTATTTTAGTTTCGTTAACTGTGTATTTTTGTATAGATTATCCTACGGTATATATTATAGTTTGCCATATATTAATTTTCATGTTTATATATTTACCTATGTTTTTTTCAAAATCATATTTTGTTAACTGTGTATCTTGTATATATTATGCTATATATCGTTACAATTTAAGTTTGCCATATATTAATTTTTATATTTATTTACTGATCCCTTCCTTTAGCTTTTTTTTTTTTAAAATGGTTTTTATATTTATTTTAGTTTCGTTAAACTGTGTATTTTATATTCTGTTTAGCTTTAAAAATTTTGCATTTTGCACGCCCTGTGCTGGTCTACGGTTGAGTTTAGGATTTGTACCATCACCGAAGTTCTGGATTCTAACAATGAAGCCTCACATGGGATTATTGGACTAGAAACTTCAAACTAATAACATTTCTGAGTTAACATGATGGAGTCTTGCCTGTAAAAATACCTTCAACAGATTAAAAAATAAACCACAATACCGTTATACTTTATAAAGCTGCACATTGCTAACAAGGAAGCAGAATTTAAGGTGTCTCGTCCGATTTAAGCATAAAAATCCCAAAACTGCTACTTTAAACCATTTTTAATTTAAAAATTGAAATAAATATTAAATATAAAATAAATATAAAAAACAAAGCCTAAATTTTTCTATACGTTATAGTGAATGCCATACAAGAAATACATTATATTTATATATTAAATAATCAAAATAAATTTAAATTTGGTTTATTTGCCATTTGGGGTTAGAATTTGGGTTTCATTTCAGCATAAAATCTTGGGTTTTAAGAAAGCCAGCATAGAGTCATCCCAGCCACCCCGCATGGAACAAACCACGTTGGAATAATGGCTTAAAAATATACAAAGGGTTTAATAATCTGATAACAGCTTGATGGGGATTTCTTCCTTGCATTGGGTAAAATATTTCCAAGGTTATAATAAGCACGGATGGCAAAAATATAATTAAGATTATCAATGGATTCGGCAAGAACGAAACAGCCCTCCTTACCTGCGAGATCTGTAGGAAAACGGAAGCAGGTAGGAGGAGCCGGAAATAAGGGTGTCTGCCTTGCCATTGGTTCAGAAGGCAAGCCAATTATTGCTTTAACTTGAGGCGGGAGTATTTATTTGCAGCAATTAGGAGACAGAGAGAGAGAGAGAGAGAGAGAGACTTTCTCAACCTGGGCAAGTTTCAGACGTGTGGACTTCAACTCCCAGAATTCCCCCTGCAGCTTTCAGTGACCAAAGGGTGGACAAATGTGGCCAAGCTGTCTCAGGAATTCTGGGAGTTGAAGTCCACAGGTTGTAAAAGGGCCACTTATTTGCCCACACAAATATGTGTGTTTGCCTACTTGGGGGAGAAAATTGTGCTCTGCTGATATGGAGGGGGCATTTTGCGGGGTGGGGGCACATCTGAGGCTTTGGGAGCAACTTTTTTTGGTTTATCTCCTCTCTCTTTCCTCCCCCCTCACTCCCTTCTCTATTTTTCCTCCCTTCTTTTCTTCTCTCCCCTCCCCTCTTTCCCTCCCTCCTCCCTCCTGTTCTCCCTTCCTTCTCTTCTCCGGTCCTTTTTTCCTTCCTGCCCTCGTTTCCTGCCCTCTTTCTTTCTCCTTCCTTCCTTCTTTCTTTCCTGTTCCTTATTTCCATTTTCTTCCCCCAATTTCTCCTGCATTCCTGTTTTCTTCTACCTAATTCCTCCCTTCCTATTATTTCCTTCCTCCCACCCTCCCTCTCTCCCTTCCTTATTTTCTTCCAATTCCTCCCTCATTCCTGTTTTCTTCTAATTCCCCCCTTCCTATTTTTCCTTCCTCCCACCCTCCCTCTCTCCCTTCCTTATTTTCTTCCAATTCCTCCCTCATTCCTGTTTTCTTCTAATTCCTCCCTTCCTATTTTTCCTTCCTTCCTTCCATTTTCTTCCCCCAATTCCTCCCTCATTCCTCTTTTCTTCTACCTAATTCCTCCTGTTCTATTATTTCCTTCCTTCCTTTTCTTCCAATTTCTCCCTCATTCCTCTTTTTTTCTACCTAATTCCTTCCTTCCTTCCATTTTCTTCTCCCAATTCCCTCCCTCATTCCTGTTTTCTTCTACCTGATTCCTCCCTTCCTATTTTTCTTTCCTCCCTCCTTCCTTCCTTTCTCCCTCCCCTACCTTCCTTCTTTTCTTCCAATTCCTCCCTCATTCCTGTTTTCTTCTACCTAATTCCTCCCTTCCTATTTTTCTTTCCTCCCTCCCTCCCTCCCTTCCTCCCTCCTCCCTTCCTTTTCTTCCCCCAATTCGTCTCTCATTCCTGTTTTCTTCTACCTAATTCCTCGCTTCCTATTATTTCCTTCCTCCCACCCTCCCTCTCTCCCTTCCTTATTTTCTTCCAATTCCTCCCTCATTCCTGTTTTCTTCTAATTCCTCCCTTCCTATTTTTCCTTCCTTCCTTCCATTTTCTTCCCCCAATTCCTCCCTCATTCCTGTTTTCTTCTACCTAATTCCTCCTGTTCTATTATTTCCTTCCTTCCTTTTCTTCCAATTTCTCCCTCATTCCTCTTTTCTTCTACCTAATTCCTTCCTTCCTTCCATTTTCTTCTCCCAATTCCTCCCTCATTCCTGTTTTCTTCTACCTGATTTCCTCCCTGCCTATTTTTCTTTCCTCCCTCCTTCCTTCCTTTCTCCCTCCCTACCTTCCTTCTTTTCTTCCAATTCCTCCCTCATTCCTGTTTTCTTCTACCTAATTCCTCCCTTCCTATTTTTCTTCCTACCTCCTCCCTCCCTCCCTTCCTTTTCTTCCCCCAATTCGACTTTCATTCCTGTTTTCTTCTACCTAATTCCTCCCTTCCTATTTTTCTTTCCTCCCTCCCTCCCTTTTTCCCTCCCTTCCTTTTCTTCCCCCAATTCGTCTCTCATTCCTGTTTTCTTCTACCTAATTCCTCGCTTCTTATTATTTCCTTCCTTCCTTCCTCCCTCCCTCCCATCTCCAGAAGAGCTGAAAGGGATGAAAGGCAACCTGGGATGAAAAGGTGCCCTCCTACCACCCGGATAGGCTCTTTGCCCCGTGACGTCATTCCATCCTTGGGAGGCGATTGGCTCTCCTTGCCTAGGGCTAGCATGGGCAGAGGGCGGGCAGCCAGCTGTCAGGCTCCCTGGCCAGACACTCTGCAGGACAGGTGCACCTCCTGGCATCCTTCGCACAGGTGAGCCTCCCTAAGGGGAGACACAGGAGGGGGGGTCTCCATCCTCCTTGGAGAGGTTGCTGAAGAGAGGCAGGAGGGCACCTCTAAAAGGGGTGGGTGGGTTTCACAGGGGCGGATGAGAATCCTGAGAATCTGCAAGATTGGAGTGGGAAGCCTTTGGGTCCCCGAAATGTCTTTGTCTGCCGGGGCAGAAATCTCTCTCATTTTTTATCCCTTTGAAGAGACTGGACTGCCATCTGTCAGAAATGGTGTAAGGTCTCCTGCTTGGACGGGGGTGGGGGGGTGGGGGTTGGACTAGATGATCTCCAAGGTCCCTTCCGACCCTGTTAATCTAATCTAATCTAATCTGGACTCACCTGGAAGGAGCCTCATTCAGGCTGCCTGGTGGGATGCTGTTAATTCTGTCAATCAAATCCTTCAGTGGGGCTGTCAGTGGCTCTGGATACGATGCCCAGTTCCCTTTGTGGAATGCCTCCTCTTCCGCGCTGGCATTTCCCGCATTTTGCATGCCAGATGCAAGTTGCAAGTTTAAGGCCTTGCTGTGCACCACATGCAGTTTGGTGCACCAATGCATTCTGATGTACAGAATCTAATCAGCCACGGAGGGAAGGATTTCCCAAGAAAGGTAAATTTTCCCGTCGGACATCTGTGCTAGTCGTTCCTGACTCTAGGGGGCGCTTCTCATCTCCGTTTCAAAGCCGAAGAGCCAGCGCTGTCCGAAGACGCCTCCGTGGTCCTGTGGCCGGCATGACTCAACGCCAAAGGCTCACCTTTGGTTACCTTCCCACCAAAGCTGGTCCCTATTTTTCTACTTGCATTTTTTACCTGCTTTCGAACTGCTAGGTTGGCAGAAGGTGGGACAAGTCACGGGAGCTCACCCCGTCACGCGGCACTGGGGATTCGAACCGCTGAACTGCCGAACCCTTTCGATCGACCAGCTCAGCGTCTTAGCCAACAAAACAGGACCCCAAATATCCGTGCACGAGATAGCTGGTTTATGTTAAGAGTGTGATTTTTTTACAAGAGAATGAAAATTCAACTCCTCCCCCTTCCTGTTGTGACGTTAGGGCTGGTGTCAGCAACCTGCGGCTCCGGAGCCGCATGTGGCTCTTTGGGCCCTCTGCTGTGGCTCCCTGTCAGGTGATCCCACTACTGGCTGGCCCCCTTCTCCTCGCCCTCCTCTCCCAGTCACTCCTCGCCTGGCCTGAGAAGGTAAGGGCGATGGCGGGTAATGGGGAAGGGGCTGGGGCAGAGACAGAGAAAGACAGAGAGGGGGAGAGAGAGAGACACAGAGAGATAGAGAGAGAGGGGAGGAAGGAGGGAGGGAGGGAGAGAGAGATGTCAAAAGGATTTTGTGGTTCCCGGTGTTTTTTAACAACTGGTTCTCTGCCCTAATGACCAGCTGGGTAGGCGTGGCTAAGGGGTGGTCATGTGACTGATAGAAGTGAGTGACGTCGAGTTGGCCACGCCCACCCAGGTTTTTGTGGCTCCCGGTGTTTTCTTTTCTGTGCGAAACAGGTCCAAATGGCTCTTTGAATGTTTAAGGTTGCAGATCCTTGCGTTAGGGTCTGAGTTCACAAAAAAAAACCCTCTCTCTGCAAAAGTTCCTTCCTCCCATTATTATTATTATTATTATTATTATTATTATTATTATTATTATTATTAATTGAATTTGCATACCGCCCTACTCCCGAAGGACTCAGGGCGGTGAACAGCCAAATAAAATACATATAATACAAATGTTAAAAAACCACTAAAATACAATTAAATAATTGGCCCGAAAAACAAAATTTAAAACACCCCAATTCATAAGACAAATTTAAAATTTTAAAAATTTAAAATTTTTAAAAAAAATTTAAAAGAGAGGTTAGGCCATTGACATCATAAGAAACGTAGTTGAGTTTCTCCTATTGAAATGTATCCTAAAATAATAGATAATAGATAATAAAATAATATATAATAGCTATTTTACCCTTTTTGACTCTGGAAAAAAAATATACGGGGAGTCCTTGACTTACAACTACAACTGGGACCAGTTATTGACATTGCTAAGCAAGGCAGTGTAGGTGACTCAAGCCTGATTTTACAATCTTTTTTTGCAGCGGTTGTTAAGCGAAATCGCTGCAGTTGTTAAGTGAATCACATGGCCGTTAAGCGAATCTGGCTTCTATCATTGCCTTCTACCATTGCAGAGCGATTAGAGAAACTAGGCATTTTACAGTAGTCCTCGACTTATGACAGTTCATTTAATGACCGCTCGAAGTTACAACCCCGTTGAAAAAAACGGACTTGTGACCGTTTTTCACATTATGACCGTTGTGGCATCCCCACGGTCACGTGATTGAAATTTAGACGCTCGTTGGTTTAGGGGCGTGATGGCGAACCTATGGTGCGCATGCCACAGGTGGCACACGGAGCCATATCGGTGGGCACGCAAGCTCAGCTCCGGTGTGCATGTATGCGCCGGCCAGCTCATTTTTGGGCCTCCTGGGCCCACCGGAAGTAGGGAAACAGACTGTTTCCTGCCTCCGGAGGGCCTTGGGGGTGTGTGAGGAAGGCCTGTTTTTTGCTCTCCTTTCTAGGAGCCTGAGAAGGGCGAAAACAGCCTTCCCCACCCGGACGGCAAATGGGCAGTTTCTGGCCTCCGGAGGGCCTCTGGCGGGGTGGGGAAGGCTGCTTTTGCCCTCCCCAAGCTCCTAGAAAGGCTCTGGAGCCTGGGGAGGGTGAAAAATGGGCCTACTGGGCCCACCGGAAGTAGGGAAACAGACTGTTTCCTGCCTCCGGAAGGCCTTGGGGGTGTGTGAGGAAGGCTGTTTTTGCCCTCCCCAAGCTCCTAGAAAGGCTCTGGAGCCTGGGGAGGGCAAAAAGTGGGCCTACCAGGCCCACCATGCCATCATGTGCCAAAAGCGGGGGGGCACGGGGGGGTCACACACGCATGCGTGGGGGCGAGGCACATAGAATTATGGGTGTGGGCACACATGCGCTTGAACACCCCCCCCCGATGCTTCCTTCACTTTTGGCACGTGATGACAAAAAGGTTAGCCACTGATCACTGGTCTAGGGGTATGATTCATGTTTTGGGTGTGAGAGGTTCCGGGTTCAAATCCCGGACGAGCCCCCATGGGGGAAGCCAGTTTCACTTAACAACCGTATTACTAAGTTTAACAAATGCTGTAATTCACTTAACAACTGTGGCAAGACAGATCATAAAATGTGTCAAAGTTCATTTAACCCATGCCTCGCTTAGCCGCAGAAATTTTGGGCTCGGCTGCGGTCGTAAGTCGAAGGACTACCCGTATAACAGAATGCAAAATGATGTTGTGTAATCCTACCCAGGCACGCTTGCACACACCCAGGCAGGAATCAAAATAGGAGAGCTGCAAAAGATGATGATTAAAATGAAGATGAAGATGACTGTGCTGGGATAAACAGTTAAAATAAAGATGATTGTGCTGGGATTAGCGGTAAAAATAAGATGATTATGTTGGGATTAATAATTAAAATTAGGAATGTTATGTTGGGATAAACAGCAATGAAGATGATTATATTGGGAGCAACAGTTAAAATAATGTTTAAATGCTTATAATAATTGTAATGATTTATATTTTTAAAATACATTCATCTAAGTAAAAAGAAAAATGAAATGATATTTGGTTAGGATTTAAAGATTTAAGTAATGGGTTTTTGGGAAAACTGCATTGTTAAATAGACAGAATTTAGGGAAATAATTGAGTAAAATATTAAGTTGTGTTATTTGAAAATTAAGATTTGTTAGTAATTGTACCAATTTATGACCGGATCAATGCTTCGTTTTGAAAAGATGTGTTTTATGTTTATGTTTTAAAAAAGAAAAAGAAAAAATTTCAAAAAAACAGCAACAACAGGAGAGCTGCATTGTGTGAAAATATTGTGTTTTGCACAATATTCCTGAATCCCAAACCGGAGGTGAAAAATTCCCAACGCGAGTAAAGAAGGAAGGAGGAGATCCATTCTGGTTGTCCTTTGTTAGCCCTGTGGGAGACTTCGCATGCTCCCATTGTGATTAATTTCTAAAAAAAGAAGGCAGCGCATCTCAAATTACAAGCCCGGTTTACACACCGAGAAAAGGATGCCGACGTAAAATCTATTCTCCACGTAAATTAGTTGGTTCGAAGATGGATTTCAATGGGAAGGGGGATCCTTCGGCCAGCTGGAGAAAGCAGGAATATTCAGGCTCTCCCAAATTTCTCGCTGCAGCTCCAGCCTTGTCGAACACAATTGCGCTTGGTCCAAATGGGATTTTTTTTCCCCCCCTGCAGATTGAGACGGTGCCCGGTGTCGGCTATTTAATGGAGATCAAGTCATAAAACAGGTGCAGGAGTTCTCCGTGGGGTGGAAAAAAATCACAACCGAAGACGCTTCGGGATCTGAGCTCGGAAGGAAAAAAATGGATCGGCTGAAGGTTCTTCGCACCAGAGAACTGGAATTTGGGGGTGTATTTGGTAAGGAAGAGGAGAATTGGGGAGGGGGGAGCCCAGAGCTTTGATATCTCCAATTCTCATATTTGATTGTCCCTTCTAATCCCTCCTTTAAAGGACCAGATTACAGGTAGTCCTCAACTTACAACCACAATTGAGCCCAAAATTTATGTTGCAAACCGAGCGTCAGCACTAGGATAAATGCATCTTGACGTGCTTGCCTGAAAACCTGACACCGAGACAATTGTTAAGTGAATTTTGTCCGTTTTACAATTTTACATTTTACTGCCACATTTTGTTAAGGGAATCACTGCAGTTGTTAAATTAGCAACACGTTAACGTGTTATATGGCTTCCTTTTTTGATTGTCAGAAAGCCGCAAAAGGGGATCGCGTGACCCTGGGACATTGCGTCCGTCATAAATGTGAGTCAGTTGTCAAGCATCCGAATCAGGGGTGGGTTCTACTTACCTTTACTACCGGTAAAGTAGTAAAGGTAAATAGAACCCACTACTTATCTTAAAGGTAAGTAGAACGGGGCTGCTCGCACAGAAGCGTTCTGATGATGTCGGGATCGGCAGCCGGAGCCTCCCGCTGGTTTTACTACCCGTTCTAGAGAACCGGTGCGAACCGGGGGCAACCCACCACTGATCCGAATGTAAATCACGTCACCATGGGGGATGCTGCAATGGTCGTAAGTGTGAAAAATGATCACAAATCACCTTTTTCAGTTCCGTTGTAACTTTGGTCACTAAATGAACTGTTGTAAGTTGAGGACTACCTGTAAGAGGGAAAGGTTGAAAAATGATGATGCTTCTAGTCCATCCCCCTCTCCACCTTGGCTGTGAGGCTGAGAGGGAGGGACTGACCCCAGGGCCCCCCAAGGACTGAATGGAGAGTTAGAGGGCCAATTGTTGTGGCCTGCCAGCTGCCAACAGAGCTCGTGGCAGACTCGGAGGATGAGGAGGCTGGGGAGGAACTTGGGCCAATGCTGGAGTCTGGGGAAGCCTCTGATGGATGCTCTGTGTCGGACGCAGAGATAGAGCCAGGGCCGTCCGACTTTTTCCAGCCACCGGAGAGGCAGCTGCCTTCGGAGGCTGAGATGAGTGAGGAGGAGGAACAGCTGGGGCCTGTTCCAGATGCACGTATGCGCAGAGCAGTTAGGAGAGGAGAGCAACGGAGGACAAGGAGTTGACTCGGGAAGCAAAGCACACACTGAACGGCCCCTCCCTGGCTGGGGAATAAATAGAGGGAAAGGGGAGTGGTGATCGTAGGAGACAACCGTTCGTATTTCTGAAGATTTCGCTCATTGCATTTCGTGCATCAAAGGCTGCTTGCCAGAACTTAATTTGCAGCCTTTCGGCTGGGAGCTCCCGGCCTGGCAATTATGGTAAGGAACCGATAAGGTCTGTTACCGCAGTTAACTCCTTGAAGGACTCTTGCCTGGACTTTTCGGTAGGTGAATGGAATTAATTCACATAAGGAGGAGTTTTTTCGTTAGCCAGGAGTCTGTTTCTTGTTTCCGGCTTAAGGCTGGGTCAGAACAACAATAACTTTTCATTGATTGATTTATTACGTTGATATGCTCCCATTTCATTTATGCAAAGTGATTCTGGGCAGCTTATTTATTCATCGATTGGTTTTTTTCAATTTATGTGCCTGACTATCCGAGGCGTCTCTTTGAAGCATGTTCATTTATATATAAAAAAGGGACTTACTAAATTTATCTGCCAGCCATCTCACTATGCAAAGTGAACCTGGGCGAGTTATTTATTGATAAAATTTATTTTTATTAAATGGATTACACATTGATTGGCCGCCCATCTCACCCTGCAAAACGACTGTTGTGTTGATTGCCTTTGGGATGGAAAAGGGGGGATTTGAGCCCAGTTGTGTAACAAGGGCTGTCTCCTTCTCCTCCTCCTTCTCCTTCTCCTCTCCTCTCCTCTTCCTCTTCTTCCCTTCTCCTCCTCCTCCTCCTTTTTCTTCCCCTCCTCTTCTTCTTCTTCTTTCCTTCTCCTCCTCCTTTTCTTCTTCTTCTCTTTCCTCCTCCTCCTCCTCCTCCTTTTTCTTTTCTTCTTCTTTCCTCCTCCTCCTCTTCTTCTTCTCCTCCTCCTTTTCTCCTTCTCCTCCTCCTCCTCCTCCTCCTCCTCCTCCTCCTCCTTCTCTTCTTCTTTCCTCTTCCTCTTCCTTTTTCTTTCCCCTCCTCCTCTTTCCTTCTCTTTCTCCTCCTCCTCTTCTTCTTCTTCTTTCCTCCTCCTTCTCCTCTTCTTTTTTTTCTTCTTCCTCCTCCTCCTTTTCTTCTTATTTTTCCTCCTTCTCCTCCTTTTTCTTTCCCCTCCTCCTCCTCTTTTTTTCGTTCTCCTCCTCCTCCTCCTTTTCTTCTTCTTTTTCTTCTTCTTTCCTCCTCCTCCTCTTCTTTTCTTCTTCTTCCTCCTCCTCTTTTCTTCCTCCTCCTTTTTTTTTTCCTCCTCCTCCTCTTCTTCTCCTCCTCCTCCTCTTCTTCCTCCTCCTTCTTTTCTTCCTCCTCCTTTTTCTTTCCCTCCTCTTCTTCTTTTCCTCCTCTTCCTCTCCTCCTCCTTTTCTTCCTCCTCCTCCTCCTTACAGGGGTAGCCCTCCTAATGGTTGTGATGCCCAGCACCGTCTTCTACCTCCTGCTGGTCTGCAGAACGGAGCAGGCAAGCGCGCTGAGCCCCCCCTGGCCGCTGCCCTCCCTCCGCTCCCTCTGGAGCCCCCGAGACTTTGCTCTGGTCCTGGCCTGGCTGGCATTTCAAGCCCTGCTCTACCGGCTGCCCGTGGGGAAGGTAAGGCTCTTGCATGGGCTGGGACTGTCGGCTCTGGCCTCAGTTTTCCTCATCTGTATAATGGGAAGAAAAGTTGTATGGAATATCATCCTGGGTTGTTTTTTTTTTCTGGGAGAAATTTCCTAACAGTGAGAACAATTAATCCGCTGGGTGGAAGTTGCTTCCAGAAGTTGTGAGTGGTCCCATCACTGGAGGATTTCAAGAAGAGATAGGACATTTATCTTGAATGTCTCCTGTTTGAGCAGGGGGTTGGACTAGAAGACCTCTGAGGTCCCTTCCCATTCTGTTATTCTGCTTGTACAGAGATGGAAGATGGATCAGCAGAGTGTAAAATGGTTATAAAAAAGGACAACAGTAAATTTGAAGGCATTGTTGTGCCCCGCCAGCGACCTGTACGGATCGTGGCTGATCCCGATGACGAGGAGGCTGGTGTGGTGTCGTGCCACAGCCTGCGCAGCCGGCGCTCGCATCGTACAGCGAGGAGGCTGAAGAGGATGTGGTGTCAGAGGCAGAGAGACTCAGCCAGGGCCTTCAGAACCTCCAGAGGCTCCTTCAAGTGGAGAGAGTGAAGTGGAGGAGCCTCTTCTCAATGCTCGGGCACGCAGGGCTGCCAGAAGGCAGGAGTGGCTACACAGGAGGAGGAGGTCTTCTCGAGAGTAAGGCTTGAGGATAATTGGCCACTCCCTTAGCCTATTTAAGTCACACGCCGTTAGTAAGTTTCTTGCTAGAAACAACTTGTAATTATCATCAGAGCATTTTTGGAAAAGTCTTATCGTATCTTGCTTTCTGGGCTGGTTGCCAACCTTTGCCAGACTTTGGTTTATTCTTGCTACTTAATAAATTAAAGAAGAATTAAAGAGCCTTGATAGTACAGTGGTCTAAGCACCCTGTTATTAACACAGCTGCCTGCAATTTACTGCTGGTTCGAATCTCTCCAAGGCTCAAGGTTGACTCAGCCTTCCATCCTTTCTAAGGTAGGTGAAATGAGGACCCAGTTTGTGGGGGCAATAAGCTGACTTTGTATAAATATACAAAAGGATGAAGGCTATTGTAAGCTGCCCTGAGTCTCCGGAGAAGGGCGGCATATAAATCAAATTAAAAAAAAAAAAGAAAAAAATTTGATAAGGACCATTGGTGTGTGTCAATATCTTCGGAAATCCGGAGCTGGGGCAGAACAGTGGAGTTACGAGAGCTGCAGCACCCAACAAGCAAAGTTCAAGCAAATTTGAAGGCATTTTCAATTTTGGGCAGAAGAAAGGACCAAAAAGACGATCGGCATTCCATCCCTAATAAATAAGAAGAGTTGGACCCTATTGCTGAAAATAACTTTTCATTATGACAGATGGTCGTCGACTTACGACCGCAACTGAGGCCAGAATTTCTGTTGCAAAGCAAACATCGTTAAATTTCTTCCTGGTTTTACGACCTCTTTGTTTTGGCCATGGCTGTTAAATGAATTGCTTGCAGTGGTTAAACGAAACTTTTTTTCATTCGCAAGTGCTCATTTGGGTGGGTATGAATTTCTGCTTTGTCGGGCCAGATGGACGGCTGCCAAGATCTTAGGAAAACTCTGATGGTTTCATTTTATTATATTTTATTTTATTCCCCAACAGATCACAGAAGGAAGCCTCCTCCGGGACAAGAGCCGGCTGCAATATCGTATTAACGGTAGATATTTTATTTATTTATTTATTTATTATTCATTTATTTATTTTTGTCAAGCATGTATAAGATAACAGATACAAGTATAAACATAATTTGAATACATGAAAAGAGTAAGTAAAAAGAATATTAGGACAGGGACGGAAGGCACGCTGGTGCGCTTATGCACGCCCCTTACAGACCTCTTAGGAATGGGGTGAGGTCAACAGTAGACAGTTTAAGGTTGAAGTTTTGGGGGTTTGGGGAAGAAACCACAGAGTCAGGTAGTGCATTCCAGGCATTGACCACTCTGTTGCTGAAGTCGTATTTTCTGCAATCGAATTTGGAGCGGTTTACCTTGAGTTTGTATCTTATTATTTGCTCGTGTATTATTGTGGTTGAAGTTGAAGTAGTCATTGACAGGTAGGACCAGGGGGTGGGTTCTACTTACCTTTGCTACCGATTCGCGACGGGATCACATGCGCAGATCGCTGATGATGACATCTGGGGTGGTGGGCGGGGCCTCACCAGTTACAACCAGTTCTTGCGAACCGGTCCGAACCGGGGGCAACCCACCACTGGGTAGGACGTTGTAGGAGATAATTTTGTGTACTACGCTTAGGTCATGTTGAGGGTAGAAGTGCCCTCTGCAAAATAGTGCAACGGACCAGACAGCGTTGCTTAGCAAAAACACAGATACTCTCAGACTCTGAACGTTTATAGAAAAACAAATAGTCTTTACTTGTAGTAAAACAAACAAACTTGGCTTCTTAAAACAAAGATAACACTTCGTCAAATAATCAAGGCTCAACACAAAAACTTACAATTCCAGTTCCTTCAGTAATACCGGCACAGTTCCTTTCAGCAGTTCAACCTTCTAATAGCTCGAGGAGGAGTGAATGAACTTCCTGCCTTCTTTTATGTCTGCTTAGCCAATTAATCAATTAGTCATCTTGTAGCAGTTAAAGATACAGAACATAGTTTTGTATATTATCTACCCAACGGTAGGATAAGGATCCAACAGGTCAGACCGAAGGCGGCATAGTTCTAAGTTTTCTAAGCCCAAAATTTCAAGCCTGGTGACATAAGCCTTGGTAGTACAGGGGTTTAAGGCACCCTGTTATTAAGCTGGTTATTAAGACCAGCTGTCTGCAATTACTGCAGGGTTCGAATCTCGCCAAGGCTCAAGGTTGACTCAGCCTTCCATCCTTTCTAAGGTAGGTGAAATGAGGACCCAGTTTGTGGGGGCAATAAGCTGACTTTGTATAAATATACAAAAGGATGAAGGCTATTGCTTAACGCATTGTAAGCCGCCCTGAGTCTCCGGAGAAGGGCGGCATATAAATCAAATTAAAAAAAAAATAAATAAGGAATTCTGTTGCGAGCAGAGGAGTGGAGGACTCTTCTCGTGAAATATCTCTGGACTCGCTCGATTGTATTAATGTCCGGTATGCAGTGTGGGTTCCAGACAGACGAGCTGTATTCGAGAATTGGTCTAGCAAAGGTTTTGTATGCTCTGGTTAGCAGTACAATATTACCAGAGAAGAAGCTATGCAAGATTAGGTTAACAACTCTTTAATGCCTTTTTGGCGATGTTGTTACATGATGAAAAAGGCTTGGAAAAACTAAGGAATCAGAAGGGATGGGGGGACAAATGGAGGTGGGTGGGAGAGACTTGGCAAAAGATAGCCGTAGCATGGCTTCCCCAAATTGGTTTGTTTTAGGCAATTTAATTAAGAAATATACATCGGAAGTACAGGAAGTCCTCGACTTACGACAGTTCATTTAGTGACCGTTTGAAGTTACAACGGCACTGAAAAAAGTGACTTAGGACCCTCTTTTCACACTTATGGCCGTTGCAGCGTCCCCGTGGTCACGTGATCAAAATTCAGACAGCTTGGCTGCTGCTTCATACTTATGACTGTTGCTGCGTCCCAGGGTCATGTGATCCCCTTTTGCAACCTTCGGACAGGCAAAGTCGATGGGGAAGTCACATTCACTTGAAAACGGTGTTACTAACTTCACAAATGCAGCGATTCACTTAACAACTGTGGCAAGGAAGGTGGTGCACTGGGGCAAAATTCGTTCAACAAATGTCTGACTTCACAATAGAAATTTAGGGCTCAATTGTGGTCATTTTATGATGGGTTTTTAAAATTTGAAATTGGTTTTAAATTGAAATGTTTTAAATTATGGGCCAAATTATTTAATTATTTTAAATCTATTTTAACTTTTGTGTATAAAGTGTTTTACTTTGGCTGTTCACCGCCCTGAGTCCGAAAGGAGAAAGGCGGTATAGAAATCTGAAAAATAAATAAATAAATAAATAAGTCGAGGACTACCTGTACAAACTAGCCATTTCTATAACAACAGGCCTATCTAATCAATAAAACCCAAAATCAGAGTTTCATTTTTTTCCCCACCTCAAGCACAAAGTCCAGAAGTGGTTTCCCTTTTTTGTCTGATTTGGTTTTCTTCTGTTTGTTTGTTGTTGTTGGTTTTTTTTGAGTTTGTATTTTAACTTTGAATAAAACAAAATATTTTTAAAAACCAGTAGAGTATCGCTAGGACTATAGTAGATATGAATGCTGGAAGTTTCACTCCAAAACTTCTAAAAGAAAGGATGGGGAGAAAATTAAAAAGAAGCGCCATTATAATTAAAGCATTCAGTCAATTCTACAAAACTCCGCACTGGCGACAGGAAAGGCATCCGGCCAGTAAACATTCAGCTCCATTCACTCCACCCTGCAAAGGATTATGGGGTCGTTAAAAGAAGATGACGATTCAGTCAATTCTTTGCCTTAGTTGAGTTTTTAGAGTTCCCAGAGATAACTATTGAGTTATAACTATTGAGCCGTGGGTCTCATTTTGAACCGGTCTCTCTTGATTTTTATGATTTTATGGTTGGTTTTAAATTTTGATATGGATTTTAAATTGATAAATTTTAAACTATGGACCAAATTTAATTATTTTAAATCTATTTTTAATCGTACCTTATGTATAAATGCTTTTATTTTGGCTGTTCACCGCCCTGAGTCCGAAAGGAGAAGGGCGGTATAGAAATTCGATAGATAGATAGATAGATAGATAGATAGATAGATAGATAGATAGATAGATAGATGATAGATAGATAGATAGATAGATAGATAGATAGATAGATGATAGATAGATAGATAGATAGATAGATAGATAGATAGATGATAGATAGATAGATAGATAGATAGATAGATAGATGATAGATAGATAGATAGATAGATAGATAGATAGATAGATAGATAGATGATAGATAGATAGATAGATAGATAGATGATAGATAGATAGATAGATAGATAGATAGATGATAGATAGATAGATAGATAGATAGATAGATGATAGATAGATAGATAGATAGATAGATAGATAGATGATAGATAGATAGATAGATAGATAGATAGATGAAGATAGATAGATAGATGATAGATAGATAGATAGATAGATGATAGATAGATAGATAGATAGATAGATGATAGATAGATAGATAGATAGATGATAGATAGATAGATAGATAGATAGATAATGATAGATAGATAGATAGATAGATGATAGATAGATAGATAGATAATAGATAGATAGATGATAGATAGATAGATAGATAGATAGATAGATAGATGATAGATAGATAGATAGATAGATAGATGATAGATAGATGATAGATAGATAGATAGATAGATGATAGATAGATAGATGATAGATAGATAGATAGATAGATAGATAGATAGATATAGATAGATAGATAGATGATAGATAGATAGATAGATAGATAGGATAGATAGATAGATAGATAGATAGATAGATAGATAGATAGATAGATAGATGATAGATAGATAGATAGATAGATAGATGATAGATAGATAGATGATAGATAGATAGATAGATAGATAGATAGATGATAGATAGATAGATAGATAGATGATAGATAGATAGATAGATGATAGATAGATAGATAGATAGATAGATAGATAGATAGATAGATAGATAGATAGATAAATTTGGGGTACAAATCCCCCACCCTGTTTTTTTTTTCATTTCGGGTAGGTTTCCACGCCATGTTGGTCACAGCGTTGATGTTGGGCGCCGGACTGGCCGGGGGGCTGCGCTTGAGTTACATCTACGACCACATCCTGCAGTTGGCCTTTGCAGCGACCATCCTGGCTTTCGGCCTCAGCGTCCTTCTCTATTTCAAGGCCCTTCTGGCCCCAGAGACAGCCCTGGCTCCCGGTGGGAATTCAGGTGAGGGTCTCCCCCCCCCCAGGGGTGGGCTTCAAAAATTTTAGCAAGGGGTTCTCTGCCCAGTTGCTGGGTGGCTGTGGCCATGGTGGGCGTGGCCTAGTCGGCCTCCTGCACCATGGTGGAGGAGGGGGCGTTTTTGCCCTCCCCGGGCTCCGGAGGCTTTTTTTGAGCCTCCGGGAGGGCGAAAACGGCCTCCCCAGGCTCCGGAGGCCCTCTGGAGGCTGGAAACGGGCCTTCCTGAATTTCCAGTAGGCCTGTTTTTCTACCTGCACTTACCTGCATCCAAAATGGGCCGCATGGGGACTCCTGAGAGGGGATGGGGTGGGCGTGGCCAGCCAGGAGTGGGATTTGGGGGGTTCTCCGAACTGCACAGAATCTTAGCTAGAGGTTCTCCCGAACCAGTGGTGGGTTCCTCCCGGTTCGGTCCGGTTCGGCCGAGCCGGTAGCAGTGACGATATGATGTCACCGAACCGGTTCTCCCCCCCCCCCCCCCCCCCCCCCCCCCCCCCACGTTATTCTTATCTTTTATTTGGTCCCACCCCCAATCTATTGCTGCCTCCTGAGTCCCAGCTGATGACTAGAGGGAAAAAAAACTGTTTAAACTCTTGCCACGGGGCTCCAAAGGGCCGTCCTACCGCTGATCAGTGTTAAAAGCAAACAAATGAGTCGGGTCGTAAGTGCGAGGACTGATCGTAAGTGCGAGGACCTTCCAGAAATGACTCTGACCAGCTAGCCACGCCCACCTAGCCACATGACCTCCAAGCCACACCCACAAAATAAGCCAAACCCACAGAACCGGTAGTAAAAACAATTAGAACCCCCCCTGTCCCGAACCCCTGCAAATCCCCAGTAGCCCACCCCTGGATTTGTCCCCCAAATCTGGAAAAACTCAGTGGGGGCTGCGGAATGAGGAAAAACCTGGAGGAAGAGGGAACTCAATCCCCATTGCAATCTTGTCCACCTGTCTTAAGATAGACTAAGCGTAGTGTTTTTCCCCCTTGGAGACTTTAAGATGATAGAATACCAGAGCGGGAAGGGGCCTCGGAGGTCTTCTAGTCCAGCCCCCTACTCAAGCAGGAGACCCTAGCTAGACCATTTCAGACAAGTGGCTGTCCAGTCTCTTCTTAAAAGCCTCCAGTGTTGGAGCAACTCCACAACTGAAGAGGGAGTCAAGCTATTCTCCAAAGCACCAGAAGGCAGAACAAGAAGCAGTGGTTGGAAATTAATCAAGGAGAGAAGCAACCTAGGACTTTCCTGACAGTGAGAACAATTAACCAGGGGAACAGCTTGCCACCAGAAGTTGTGGGTGCTCAAACACTGGAAGTTCTTAAGAAGAGATTGGACAGCCACTTGTCTCAAATGGTATAGGGCAGTGATGGCTAACCTTTTTGTCATCACGTGCCAGGAAGGGGAGGGCGGGGGAGGTTCGCACACGCCCCGCCCTGCGCCCCGCCCTGCGCATGCATGCCCAATCCCCCCTCCCCCCTGGCCCGTTTTTCTTTGTCACCTGGCTCCAGGTCTTCTCTATGCATCTGGGGAGGGCGAAAACAGCCTTCCCCCACCTACCCCCAGGCCCTCCGGAGGCAGAAAACAGCTGTTTTCCCTACTTCTGGTGGGCCCAAAAGGCCTGAAAATCAGGTGGCCGGTATGCACATGCGCGCCAGAGCTGAGCTGGCATGTCCATGATATGGCTACGCGTGCCATCACGGGTATAGGGGTTTCCTGCCTGAGCAGGGGGTTGGACTAGAAGACCTCCAAGTCACCCGAGGACTTACCTGTACCGGAATTGGGCAGTTTTCCTGGGACGTAGGAGAGGAACAAAGGCCATTCCGCTCACCCAGGGGGCTTCAAAAGTTTCAGAAAACGTTGTGGTTTTTTTTCTCCCCTCCTGCAGGAAACCCCGTTTATGATTTCTTCATGGGCCACGAGTTGAACCCGCGCTTTGGGGTCTTTGATCTCAAATTCTTCTGTGAGTTGCGGCCGGGTCTCCTTGGCTGGGTAAGCGTCGGGGGTGGGCTTCATAAATTTTAGCCAGGGGTTCTCTGCCCAGTTGCTGGGTGGGCATGGCCATGGTGGGCGTGGCTTAGTCGGCCTCCTGCACTAAGGGGGGGGAGCTTTTTGCCCTCCCCAGGCTCTGGAGGCTTTTCTTGAGCCTCCGGGAGGACAAAAATGGCCTCCCCAGGCTCCGGAGGCCCTCTGGAGGCCGGAAACGGGCCTTCCTGAACTTCCGGTAGAGTAGAGTAGGGTAGAGTAGAGTAGAGTAGAGTAGAGGTAAAGTAGAGTAGAGTACAGTAGAGGTAGAGTAGAGTAGAGTAGAGTTAGAGTCGAGTTGAGTCGAGTAGAGGTAAAGTAGAGTAGAGTAGAGTAGAGGTACAGTAAAGTAAAGTAAAGTAAAGTAAAGTAGAGTAGAATAAAGTAAAGTAAAATAGAGTAGAATAGAGTAAAGTAAAGTAAGGTAAAATAAAGTAAAGTAGTAAAGTAAATTTTAGCCTTCAGCTCCCTGATTTTATCCACATGTTTTTAAAATCCAGTATGGTGGGAAAAACGGGGGAAACGAATAGGGAAATTGAAGATGAGCTTGTTCCCATCGCTGGGCTGACTGTCTCCTCCCTCCCACAGGCCCTGATCAACATGGCAATGTTGGTTAAAGAGACGGAGCTGAGAGGCAGCCCCTCTCTGGCCATGATCCTGGTTAATGCCTTCCAGCTTCTCTACGTGGTAGATGCCTTCTGGCATGAGGTAGGTTAAACCACGGCCAGCAGGCCTGGCCACGGGGAAATGGGAGGGGGATTTAACAAGTTCTCCTTGGAACGTGGGAGACAGAAATATTTCCCCAACTCGGAAACTCCCAAATTATTTGGCTAGCAAATCCTTTTAGAGGCATAAAGGCTGGTCGCGCGATCTGGCTTGACTCACTGCTTTGAGTGATCTACAACTGTTTGCACAGCTGCATGAAGCCACTTTAAGATGGGTGGACTTCAACTCCCAGAATTCCCCAGCCAGAAATTTGTGGCTGACATTTAGGAATATTTTGCAGGAGGCCGTTCTCACCACAATGGATATCGTCCACGACGGCTTTGGGTTCATGCTCGCTTATGGGGACCTGGCTTGGGTGCCGTTCCTGTACAGCCTCCAGTCCTGCTTCCTCGTAACTCACCCCCAGAAGCTCAGCCTGCCTGTGGCTGGGGGCATCGTCCTGCTAAACGGTGAGTCAGGCTGCAAATGGGCCCTCTGAGCATGCACAGAACGCTTTGGTTATCTCCTGCTTGAGCGAAGAGGGGGAGGAGAAGGGATTGGACTAGATGTCTAAGGTCCCTTCTAACTCTATTATCCTATCCTATCCTATCCTATCCTATCCTATCCTATCCTATCCTATCCTATCCCATTCCATATTTATTCTGTTCTATTCCATTCCATTCCATTCTGTTCTATATTTATTCTATTCTGTATATTATCCTATCCTATCCTATCCGATCCTATCCTATTCCATTCCATATTCTATTCCATTCCATTCCATATTTATTCTGGTCTATTCCATTCCATTCCGTTCTATATTTATTCTATTCTATATATTATCCTATCCTATCCTATCTTACATTCTATTCTATTCCATTCCATTCCATATTCTATTCTGAATCCTATTCCATTCCATTTCCACTCCACTCCTATTCTATTCTATTCTATTCTATTCTATTCTATTCTATTCTATTCTATTCTATTCTATTCTATTCTATTCTATTCTATTCTTTTCCTTTCCATTCCATTCCATTCCATTCCATTCTATATTTATTCCATTCTATATTTATTCCATTCTATTTCATTCTTTCCACTCTTCTCTTTATTATTCTATTCTATTCTGAATCCTATTCCATTCCATTCACTTTCCATTCGATTCTATATTTATTCTATTCTATTCCATTCCATTCCATTCTGTTCTATATTTATTCTATTCTGTATATTATCCTATCCTATCCGATCCGATCCTATCCTATCCTATTCCATTCCATATTCTATTCCATTCCATTCCATATTTATTCTGGTCTATTCCATTCCATTCCGTTCTATATTTATTCTATTCTATATATTATCCTATCCTATCCTATCTTACATTCTATTCTATTCCATTCCATTCCATATTCTATTCTGAATCCTATTCCATTCCATTTCCACTCCACTCCTATTCTATTCTATTCTATTCTATTCTATTCTATTCTATTCTATTCTATTCTTTTCCTTTCCATTCCATTCCATTCCATTCTATATTTATTCCATTCTATATTTATTCCATTCTATTTCATTCTTTCCACTCTTCTCTTTATTATTCTATTCCATTCTGAATCCTATTCTATTCCATTCCATTCACTTTCCATTCGATTCTATATTTATTCTATTCTATTCCATTCCATTCCATTCCATTCTATTCTATTCTGAATCCTATTCTGAATCCTATTCTATTCCATTCCATTCTATATTTATTCAATTCTATTCTATTCTTATTCTATTATTTTACAGATATATAGTAAAATAACAGCATCCCTTCCTTCTATCCTATCCTATCCTATCCTATCCTATCCTATCCTATCCTATCCTATTACAGAATAACCAACTATTCTCTGTCCTCTCCTCTCTTCATTTTCTTTTAGTTGTCTTCCAATAGAGTCTGGATGGTCATCCATTTAATTCAGGGTTTTCCAACCTTAATGATTTTTTCCCTGTGAACTTCAAATCCCAGAATTCCGATCAACATATCCGCTAATGAGAATTCTGGGAATTGAAGTCCATACAGCTGGAAGTTGCCACGTTTGGGAAGCGTTGATCTGATGGAGCCTGTGCTGAGAGAAAAGGTTGGGCTGGATACCCTCTCAGGTCCCTTCTAACTCTAGGATGCTGTGATTCAATATACCGTAATCATCTCATTGTCTTCTTTTGTTTTTGTTTTGCAGGCCTGGGGTATTCCATATTCCGTGGTGCCAATTCCCAGAAAAACACCTTCCGACGGAATCCCGCTGATCCCAGAGTGGCTGGTTGGTACAGCTTCACACATTTCAGTTTGTGGGGTGGGTCCAACAAGAGAGACTTAACCAAGTGAAGGCTCCAACACTGGAAGTTTTTAAGAAGATGTTCGACAACCATTTGTCTGAAGTGGTGTAGGGTTTCCTGCCTGGGCAGGGGGTTGGACTAGAAGACCTCCAAGGTCCCTTCCAACTCGGTTATTCTATTTCTATATTTCTAAGTCCAAAACTTGGCAGGTGCATTCACACAACATGGTGGGCTTGCTTCCTTTTAACCTAGGCCAGAGGTCTTCAAACTTGGAAGCTTTAAGACTTGTGAACTTCAACTCCCAGAATTCTCCAGCCAGCATAGCTGGTTATTCTGTAAAAAAAATAGAATAGAATTCTGAAAAAGAATAGAATGGAATGGAATGGAATGGAATGGACTAGAATGTAGGATAGGATAGGATAATATATAGAATATAATAAATATAAAATGGAATGGAATGGAATAGGATTCAGACTAGAATAGAATGGAATGGAATGGAATGGAATATGGAATGGAATATGGAATGGAATGGAATGGACTAGGATTCAGACTAGAATAGAATGGAATGGAATGGAATGGAATGGACTAGAATGTAGGATAGGATAGGATAATATATAGAATATAATAAATATAAAATGGAATGGAATGGAATAGGATTCAGACTAGAATAGAATGGAATGGAATGGAATGGAATATGGAATGGAATATGGAATGGAATGGAATGGACTAGGATTCAGACTAGAATAGAATGGAATGGAATGGAATGGAATGGACTAGAATGTAGGATAGGATAGGATAATATATAGAATATAATAAATATAGAATGGAATGGAATGGAATAGGATTCAGACTAGAATAGAATGGAATGGAATGGAATATGGAATGGAATGGAATGGAATGGAATATGGAATGGACTAGAATGTAGGATAGGATAGGATAATATATAGAATATAATAAATATAGAATGGAATGGAATGGAATAGGATTCAGACTAGAATAGAATGGAATGGAATGGAATATGGAATGGAATGGAATGGACTAGAATGTAGGATAGGATAAGATAGGATAATATATAGAATATAATAAATATGGAATGGAATAGGATTCAGAATAGAATAGAATAGAATGGAATGGAATGGAATATGGAATGGAATAGAATAGAATGTAGTATAGGATAGGATAGGATAGGATAAGATAGGATAGGATAGGATAATATATAGAATAAATATAGAATGGAATGGAATGGAATGGAATAGGATTCAGACTAGACTAGACTAGACTAGAATAGAATAGAAAATACGGAATGGAATGGAATAGAATGTAGGATAGGATAGGATAGGATAGGATAATATATAGACTAGAATAAATATAGAATGGAATTCTGGGAGTTGAAGTCCACAAGTCTTAAAGCTGCCAGGTTTGAAGTCCTCTGACTTAGATGATTAAATTTAGAATAGAATGAGGGACTTTGGAGGTCTTCTCGTCCATCTCCCTGCTCAAGATTAAGATTGAGATGCTTGCAGCAGGACGACCTTAGCAGGCGGTCAGAACCCAACTTTTGGGTAAGGTTCTAATTAATTCGGTTGTGCAACCCTAAACAAATTCAATTAAGTCAGCCAAGGACCTGCAATCAAGAAATGAATCTATAATATGTTGAGACTCCGGAAAGGGTGCAGAGAAGAGCAACCAGGATGATGAGGGGACTGGAGGCTCAAACATACGATGGACAGTTGCAGGAACTGGGCCTGGCTGGTCTAGTGAAGAGAAGAGAAGGACTAGAGGAGACAAGATAGCAGTCTTCCAATATCTCAGGGGCTGCCCTAAAGAAGAGGGAGTCAAGCTATTCTCCAGGACAAGAAGCAACGGATGGAAACTAATCAAGGAGAGAAGCAACTTAGAACTAAGGAGGAATTTTCCTGACAGAACAATTAATCAATAGAACAGCTTCCTTCCAAGAGTTGTAGATGCCACCACTGGAGGCTTTTAAGAAGAAACCATACAACCATTTCTTCAGAATGGTATAGGATCTCCTGCTTGAGCAGAGGGTTGGACTAGAAGACCTCCAAAGTCCCTTGCAATCCGATTATTCTGTGTTGTACATTGTAGAGTAGGATTTTCTTGGGATGCCTCTGATTTTTTACTTTTTAATGCATCCATTTCATTGATTAGTGCGCATATCCTTTTTTTTTAATGGGAATATTTTTGACCGCATGAATGTTCCCTACGTATTTTTGTAAGGCTTAGCTCGAGGGCTGATATTATCGTGCTCTTTTTTTTCCCCTGCCAGGGCTCCGGACAATCCCTACGGCAACCGGTCGGCGCCTCCTGGTCTCTGGCTGGTGGGGTTTTGTGCGACACCCCAACTATTTAGGAGACCTGATCATGGCTTTTGCATGGTCCTTGCCCTGCGGTAAGTGGCAGCCATCTAGGAGGGGCTCCGGATTTGTTTCTCTGCAGCAATCTAAGCTGGCCTTCTGTTGTCGCCCACCAGCGGCCAGTGGATCTGACAGCAGATTCAGGCAGTGAAGAAGTTGGGGAGGAACATGGGCCAGTCCTGGAGTCTGGGGATGTCAGGGCGTTGATTAATCCCATTCTGCCTTTGGGTAATTGCACCCTGATTAAGAGGAGCGGATCGTGGCCTTTCCTTGCGAGCATACTTTAAGAAAACAAACCCAAAGAAATATCTTCTAAGAAAACTCATTTATTTGTTATAAAGAAAATAAAACATCTCACTAATCTAATAGTTACATTTTGGCAACGTTCCTGCCGGACCTCCTGGCAGAAGAACCTCTTGGCAGGAGAACAAAGAAAGTTAGAAGAAAGAATGTGGGATGTGTGGACATGCGCAGTTAGCTTAGAGATAAGAAGTTGGCAAGCTACGGTGAGTCTTAGAGTTCAAAGAGAGTAGCTCATCTGGTAAATAAAAAAACGCAGTGACAGGGGAAGACTCTGATGAGGGCTCTGCGTCGGAGGCAGAGAGGGGGCCAGGGCCGTCTGACAGTTGTCAGCTGCCTTCCGAGTCAAACATCAGTGAGGCAGACGAACAGCGGGAGCCTGTTCCCAGTGTGCGCATGCACAGAGTTGCCAAACGAAGGGAACAGCTATAGAACAAGGGTCGACTCAGGAGTAAAGCCACAAGTGGATGATGAATGGCCCCTCCCAGAGGGGATAAAAGAGGAGCGGAAGGGGAGTGGAGTTTGCAGGAGACAATTAGTTCGCTTAATTGGTTCGTGACTCTTTACCGAGTTTTGAAGATATCGGCCTGGCAGCTCTCCAAGCCAGATAAAGGTCTGTGCCTGTAAATTCTCCCTTTGCTGAAGGTGAATGAGAGGAATTCACTGTTTGTTTCATAAAAGGGGTTTTGCCGGGACCAGGATTCTGCTTCGTGCTTTTTGGGGAAGCCTAAGTCAGAAAAACTTCCTTTTGGTTTCATTGCAGGGTTCACTCACATCTTGCCTTATTTTTATATCATCTATTTTACCTTGCTGCTGGCTCATCGGGATGCCCGGGACGAGCACCAGTGCCTGAGGAAGTACGGGCTGGCGTGGCACGAATATTGCCGGCGTGTCCCCTACCGGATTTTCCCATATCTCTACTGAATTCTCAAATCCCCATTTCCAGATGGTCTCTGGACTCATCTCAGGCCAGAATTGTCTCCTGGCTTCGTGGCAGAAGAGACCGGTATGGCTTGGAGAATGTCTTCCTTTGACTTCATTGCCCGTCTTCCATTTGTTTAGATTTCGTTCCCAATAGGAAAAAAAAAGACTGGAAAAATAGACTTGGGAGCTGGAATCGTTTTTATCGAAATAAACTTGATTTTTAGGACACAGATATAACAAGAGTTGGAAGGGACCTCAGAGGTCTTCTACTCCATCTCCATGCTCACGCAAGAGATCCTATATCATTTCGGACAAATGGTGAGTCTCGTCTTTTCTTAGCACCCCCCCCCCCCCCCCCCAGTGATGGAGCAGCCACAACTTCCCGAGTCAAGAGTTCCTGTCAGACCTGCCTCTAAGTAAGAATAAGCCTTAACAACTTTGGTTTAAAAAGGTATAGTTTCATAAAGGTCAAGTGAATGACGGTAATGCAAAGCCAGAACTGAGATTCACACGCCAAAATCACATAAGTTCCAGTTTTCCCTTGCTTGCTTGCTTGCCTGCCTCCTGCTGCCCACCAATCAATCAAGTTCTTGCAAGATGTTTCTATAAGGGCCAGTCTGGGTCCAGGTTGATATGTGGCCTCCTCCTTCTTCCAGCCCCGTGACTTTGGAGCACTTTCTGTCCCCCGTTTCCCTTCATCCCCCTTCCCCACAGATCATGGCAGATTGTCCCTGCATAATACACCCAGCAAGGCACAAGCAGGTATAAAGTGACAGCTGACACTGTCAGGAAATTTCTTATTCCCAGGTTGGATCTGTTCTGTCCCCGTCTCACACACGCACACAAACAGACAGCCGGGGGTTAAATAAACTGGCAGACAACCAAATTCTTTTGATAAGAGGATTGGCAGCAACCCAGTAGCTGCTTGCCAAGAACTTTACTCATAAACAAGATACACACAGTTCAAGAATTGTCCAGTCCAGTCTGTAATTAAATCCAAGGCAGATAATGTTGTTTCCAAAGATGCAATGTGACTCGATAGTAGTTAGTTTTGTCCGTCACAGTCTGAATGGCCACCTCACCCCTTTATAACCCCTGTGGGGTGTGGTCCAGTGACTCAGCTTAATCTCTGGCACGCCTCCTTTTCTGTTGCGTGCGCTTGTCTCTCCGATGCTGGCATGGATCCAGCCAAGACTTTTCTCCTTCACTGTCCGACTGTGAGGAGATAACTGGCTCCTGACCAATCTCTTCTGCTACGGGAGACACCTGAGGCATTGCCAGAGAGGAGGGTCCTGGAGAGGGAGGCCTGGCCAACTCCTCTCCTTCATGTTCGGAGCCTTCTCCCTCCGATAAGTCGGCCTCGGGAGTCGGAGCCACAACAGGATCTCCCTTTGACTGGCTTCCACCCATTGCTTCTCATCCTGTCTTACGGTGCTTTGGAGAATAATTTGATCCCTTCTTCTCTGTGACAGCCCCTCAAATATTGGAAGACTGCTATCGTGTCCCCCCTTAATCCTTATCGTGCTTGATAGGCTAGACGTGTCTAACTCCCTCAACCGTTGTTCTGACCCAATTCCCCATACATGAGAAACCCTCTGAAGTTAAATCAATGATTCTTTTGTTAGGAGCGCCAACAGCCCCGGCAAAAAGTTTCTCTCACCACAGACTAACAAATCCGTCCGGTAGGGAGAGGAATGAGTTGTCTGCCACATCTATTCATCTCCGTCCCCTGCCTTTTATCCCCAGAGCTAGGATGGGGCTTCGCTAGCAGCGGTGGGCTCTTCCGTCCTAAAGACCGGCCCATAGATTTCCACTGCTCTCCTCTCCTCTGCCTTCTGTGCATCTGCATATCAGGCACAGGACCCAGCTGTTCCTCCTCTTCCTCATCAGCCACCTCCAGACCTGGGGGCTGTCGACTCTCCATCTGAGAGCTGACGGATGGCCCAGGCTCTGTCCCTATCTCCGATAGCTCCATTCCCTCTTCCCCCTCGGAGCTCTCAGGTTGCCTGACTCCCACACCTCCTCCTCGTCCTCCTCCGATTTGGCTGCTGGAGGGGCCACAAAAAACCGTTCTTCATTCGATGTAGCCTCCAGACCTTTATTCATCTTTGTTGCTCTTCCTTGCACATTTTCCAGGGGTCTCAACGGAACAATCATTGGTGATGCTTCTTGATGTCCTAACAGTTCACCACATTTGCAAGTGTTCAGTAAGATAGTCTAGATCAGTGTTTCTCAACCTTGGGAGCTTGAAGATGGGTGGACTTCAACTCCCAGAATCCCCCAGCCAGCTTCAAGCTCCCAAGGTTGAGAAACACTGGTCTAGATAGAAGCTGAATATTTTTAAAGAGATTAATAGGCTCTCGGGAACTCCACTTCTTAAACTCTACAGATTAACAAAGCAATACTAACTGGCAGGCTGACGTAATAAAGGAGAACTCGATATAATTTGCAGTGTCATAAAAATGACACCTTTTGGAAACTGGCATTAGAGATTTTTCAGACATAACTATTCACTTTTAGTTTTTTATGATTTAAAGTCTTTGGGGATTGGATTATGCCAGCTTTTAAAAAATAACATTTAAAACGCAAAAACATTTGTGTTTTTTTGCTCTTGAATAGCAAATAATTGGATGGTGGGAATAATAAAAATATTCTTTGCAATGGGAAATAGTGAAGGGTTTTATTTGTAGCTAGCGATGAGATCTTTTTTGAAAGGGGATTTCTCTGAATCGCATGATTAACAATGCAGGTAGTCCTCAACTTAGGACAATTGATCTGTTGCTAAATGAGACATTTTGTTAAGTGAGTTTTTCCCCATTTTATGACCTTTCCTGCTACATTTTTTTTAAATTTGATTTATATGCCGCCCTTCTCCGGAGACTCAAGGCAGCTTACAATGCGTTAAGCAATAGCCTTCATACTTTTGTATATATTTATACAAAGTCAGCTTATTGCCCCCACAAACTGGGTCCTCATTTTACCTACCTTAGAAAGGATGGAAGGCTGAGTAAACCTTAAGCCTGGTAAGATTCGATCTTACTTTAATTGCAGACAGCTGGTGTTAAATTACAGAGCTCTGTCTGTTGAGCTATCCAGGCTCCTTTAAGTGGATTACTGCAGTTGTTAAGTGAAACCAGCTTCCTCATCGACTTTGCTTGTCAGATGGTTGCAAAAGATGGTCGCATGACCCCAGGACGCTGCAAACTGTCATAAATATGAGACAGTGGCCAAGAGGCTGAATTTTGATCACGTGATCCTGGGGAAGCTGCAACGGTTGCAAGTGTGAAAAATGGTCATGTCATTATTTTCCCCCAGTCCTGTTATAACTTTGAAACGGTCATTAAACAAACTGTTGTACTGCAAGTCAAGGACTACCTGTATTGGAACAAGGGAGGGAAAATAAGAAATCTTGAGGTGATCCAAACTGGACTTGTTCTCTTGGGATCCTTTCAGGGGTGAAATGCTTCCGGTTCGGACCGGATCACCCGATCCAGTAGTGATGGCAGCAGGTGGTTCAGAGAACAGGTAGCAAAAATCCCTGCCCCCCCCACCATGCTCAGCTGAGTCGCACGATCATCAGAGGCTTTTTTTTTACTTTTAAAAGCATTTTTTCTACCTCTTCCGACGAAAAAATGCTTTTAAAAGTAAAAAAAAAAAGCCTCTGATGATCGCGCGGCTCAGCTGGGATCGTCAGAGGCTTTTCAAAGCATTTTTTTTTTTGCAATCTCTTGGCCGAAAAGGTGATTTAAAAAAATGCTTTGAAAAGTCTCTGATGATCCCAGCTGAGTTGCCTGATCGCCAGAGGCTTTTCAAAGCATTAGAAAAAATGCTTTGAAAAATTTCAAAAAAAAAAAAAGTTGGTCATGCCCACCCAGTTACATTTACCCCCACCTCCAACCAAGCCACGCCCACAGAACCCGTAGTAAGTGAATCACTGCAGCTGTTAAGTCGGTAACACGGTTGTTAAGTGAATCTGATTTCCCCAGTGACTTTGCTTGTTAGGAAGTTACAAAAGATGGACACTGGAACAGTCATAAATATGAATCAATTGCCAAGCGTCTGAATTTTGATCAAATGACCCCGGGGATGCTGCAATGGGAGTGTGAAAAGTGGTCATAAGTTACTTTTTTTTCAATGCTCTTGTAACTTTGTATGGTCACTAAATGAACCTGTACTGTACAGACAGTCCTCGACTTATGAACCACCATTCCTCAGCCAACATGGTTTAAGACGTTCGGACTTCCAATTCCCATGTTGGCTGGGGAATTCTGAGAGTTGGAAGTGCCCAGATGTTAAAAGTTGCCACGATTTGAGAAATCACCGCACCACGATTTCACTCTCGACTCCCAAGTTAACACGTTTGTCGGGTGTTAACCAGGTTAAAAGGAAGCAGGAAACAAAAGAGAGGGCACAAACCAAAGATTCCTAGACTTGGCTTTTTTTAATTACAGCTTTCCCACTCTTGCCCCCAATCCATGTCCATTTTTTGGGGAGGGTAGGAGAAAAACAGAACTGATTCTTTCTCATCTTCAAGTTTAGGCTTCAACCTCTGGGACCCCTGCCCTGCGATGCAAACTCCACCGGCTCCTTTCTCCCCCAGGCCCTCTCCTGTCCCCCCAGTTTCCATCCGATCCTTTGTATGGAGGGTTGGTGGGAAGCTTCAGTCCAATTCTTCTATCAGAGGCTGTTTGGAAGGGGGCATTTTCCCTCCCCACATTTTCTCCAGCTCCTGGGTGATCGCGCCCACTTCTTTGGCGTCCACCACATGGGTTATGTATTCCCCCTGCACTTCCAAAGCCAGGGAAGGGAGCTGCTCCTCGTTCTCCTTCACCCAAGAAAGCAGGAATTGGCATTTTTTCTTCGCCTTGTAGATCCTGGGCTGGTCCTCGGGGGCTACTCGGCGTTTGCCACGACCTAACAGTCTGGTTAGGTGGGCGAAAGCCGCCAGGGCGAACCGGCTCTGTTTCTCCGGACCGGGTCCTCTTAAAATCTGGGCCACCGCTTGCATCGTCCCGGCCTTTCCCAGCGGGCACTCCGGGTACCGTCCGTCGACGACAGCCTGCAGGGCGGCTTGCAAGGCTTCCCCCGTGGAGGAGAAGACCCTCTGGGTGGTACCCAGCGTAGCCGAGAGGTCCAAGAGGGTCTCGCAGACTTCAGGCAGCAGCTGGGCATCGTCCGCCTCTCCGTTGTAGAGCGAGAGAGAGTAGGCGTAGGCGTAGAGGACGTTGGGCAGCTGGAAGCGCACCAGGGGGGAGACGGGGCCGCCGGTGAGGTTGCTCAACGGGCGGATCACATCGGGAAGGGCGGGTGGCGAGTTCGAATCCTGGGCGGGAGGTCGGTTTTGGTCCTCCCCAGTGATGATGGTCTCTTCGTTTGGAAGCCCGGATGAAGCTGGATGAAGGTCTTGCTTGGCTCCTTCCTGCTGTGGCTGAGAGTCCTGGGCATCCTGAGCTCCAAGGAGCTGGACCAGGGGTGGCTCCTGGCTTTTTGCCTCCACCACCCACCAGGGCTTCCAAGGAGGCAGGATCCCCGAGATCTTCCCGCTGCTCAGCAGCTGTTGGAAGCTCTGGCGCTGCTGGGAGCTCAGCTGCTCCCACAGGTCCTCGGTTTGCGGGTCGAGGCCTAGCTCGGGGCCCGCATCCCCGGGCTCGCGTAGTTCCCGCAGCCGGAGAAGGGCCTCCCTCAGGCGGCCTCGCGCATCCGCATCCCCCCGCTGGCTCCGGAGCCGAAGTTGCAACTCTCGCGTTTGGAAATCCCGAGCGCAGGAACCGTGCTCACGGTAGCAAGGCACGGAGCAGAAGCGGACGTGGCAGCGAGGGCAAGTGTAAGGCGCCCGATCGGCCTGGCATAGGCCGCAGGCAGCCGAGGCCTCCATGTGTCGCCCGAGCGGCTCCGAAAACGCTCGGCTGTTTCCGGAGTGGGAGGGGGTGTGGTGGAGAAAAACGAGGGTTTCCCTTGTCGCTAATGCGCAGGCGCGGCTTGGAAAGGGCTTCAGAGGGTTGTCGGGAGACGTAGTCCTGCCGCTGAAGAGAACTACATTGACCGTGATGCACCGGGCCCTGCTGTAATAGTTGCCTAGCGTGCAGCATCTCAGGTCTTGAAACTTGGCGGCTTTAAGACTTGTGGACTTCAACTCCCAGAATTCTCCAGCCAGCTATGCTGGCTGGAGAATTCTGGGAGTTGAAGTCCACAAGTCTTAAAGCCGCCAAGTTTCAAGATCTCTGTTTTGTAGTTTCTTTTTTTTTTAAAGATTTTTTTATTTTAAACAAAAAACAACATAAAAACATCCTCCTTTCAAACAATTAGTGTTTCGGTCCGTTAAAATCTTTTCTTGCTCACAAACTCTTCAAGATATCAATCTATGACACACGTTTCTTTTCCACTAAGAAAAAAAAACACATTTTTACACATTTTATCTTAAATTTCATTTCATATATCATATTTCATCTCCGTGTTTTATGGTCTATCCAGTGATAAAATCACTCCCATATCAAATAATATTGTTTATCTTCCTGTTCTCTTATTTCAAATGTCACTTTACTCCTTTCAGCACAGTCCCAATATTTTCTTAATAATTTCTTTATCGGTAGATATCTTTTCTCCTTTCCAGTTTTTAGCAAATGCAATTCTAGCCGCTGTTAAAAAATATTCACAATTAAATATTGCAATTCTTTATTGAATGTCTCTGGTAATCTTCTCCCCTTTTTAAATGTGAATTTTGTTTTTTTAAATTATGGGGTATTTTAAATTTGTCTCAGCCAAATTATTTAATTCGTTTTTTATTCTATTTTAAATTTTTGTATTTATGTGTTTTATCCTGTGGTTGTTCACCGCCCCGAGTCCTTCGGGAGTAGGGCGGTATAGAAATTTAATAAAATAAAATAAAATAAAATAAAAAAATAATAAAATAAAATAAATAAAATAAGATCCCTAATAAAAATGTCTCTGGTTTAAAATCAATGTGTCTTTTCATCATTTTTTCCAACCGCATGTGTATTAGTCCAAAATCTCCTTGCTTCTACGCTGTTTTGTAGTTTCGGGGAGTTGTGAAGGCTACTGCAGCTTTAAGAACCAGCAGTCCCTTTTTTTTTCTCCTTCCCCTAAACATGGGTTTTTCGAAGAAAAGAATTCTGGGAATTGAAGTCCACGTGACTTCCCTTCCTAGGGGGTTTGGGACTAAGCTGCAAAAGTTGCAAAATAAACCAGCTTTTTGACCAAACAGCTCCAGACTTGTTAGCAAGAGAAGCCTGGTCATGTGCTTATAGGTAAATCCCTGACTTACGACCCCTTCCGTTTAGTGACCGTTTCAAGTTAACAAAAGCACTGACTTACGGCCAAATTTCACACTTACGACCATTGCAGCATCCTGGGGGTGAGGGTGTCTCGCATGATTAAAATCCAGCTGCTGGCAACTGGCATGTATTTATGACGGTGGTATGTGAAATTTTGCAGTCGATGGGAAAATCCATAATTCACTTAGCAACTGTTTTACTAACAGCCAGTGATTCACTTAACAACTGTGGCAAAAAGGGGCAAAAGCAAAACTCACATAGCTGCCTTGCTTAGCAATGGAAATTTTGGGGGCTCTATTGTGGTCATAAGTTGAGGACTACCTCTGGATGTCTAACAGTTAAAAACAGAATAAAAACAATAAGCAAAAGGTATAAAGAAGAAAATTATTGAGAATCTGAATTGCACCCGTTGTATTTCTGCGAGATTCCTGCTGGCCTCACCATCAAATTCTTAAGTCCTTTTGTGGACTTGGCTCTCCTCAATGTGAAAGAAACTAGATCCTATTAAAAAGTGGTCCTCAACCCACTAGATCTCTTTTGACAGGTACTCCTCGACTTACAACAGTTCATTTACTGACCATTTACAACAGCAGTGGAAAGTGATTTATGGCCATGTTTTTCATGACCGTTGCAGCATCCTCATGGTAACGGGATCAAAATTCAGACACCTTGGCAACCGATTCACATTTATGACGGCTGCAGCGTCACGGGGTCCTGCAATTCCAGTTTGCGACCGACGGACAAAAGGGAAAGCCGGTTTAACTGTGTTACTAACCTAATTGCAGTGATTCCTTTTAACAGCTGTGGCAAGAATGGTTGTAAAATGGGGCAAAACTCAATTTTTGGCTGAATTGTGGTCATAAAGTCAGGACCACCTGTATAACAGTGTTTTTTAATGGCTGCCTGGGGAATTCTGGGAGTTCAGGTCTACATATTTTAAAGTTGTCAAGATTAAGAAACACTTAATACAATTTACACAAAACACTTAAATGCAAAATCTTGAGAGTGGTGCGGTGGCCTAGAAGGGGAGCTCTCGCCTCACAATCAGGAGGCTGTGAATTCAATCCTAGGTAGAGGCAGATATTTCTCTCTCTGGGAACTATGACATATATTTGCTGAACAAAACTCTGTACTGGCAACAGGAAGGGCATCCAGCCAGTAAACACTCCGCTAGTTCCATTCAGTTGCCCAGACTCCACCCGGCAAGAGATTATGGGGTCGTTAAAAGATGATGATGGCTCAAATACCAAATATTCCCCTTGAACTACATACATACAAAGCCCTCCTCCCTCTTTTGCCAATGATCTCAAAAGGTTGACCTGCACTCATGCCCCAAACAGGAAAAGCAGCAGCACCACCAGGAAATGGTCCAGGCAAATATATATGATTTTATTATATGACTGGGTGCTCTTTAGGAGTTGGCATTTGGACCCTTCTTTTTACCAAAGCCGGGCACGATGTTGACAAAACGGCGATTGTATTGCATGCGCCTCTTGGCCCGGCCGGTTTTCTTCTTCTTCTTTTCTTGCTTAGCAACCTGAGAGAACATTAAGCAGGCATTAGTCAAAGATACGGCCAGCCTTCTCCTCCCAGAATTCATCTTAGCTCTTAATGTTGGGTGAGACCCAAGCTCTTTCCTTAAGTCAGCCCACAAAAATACATCCTCCTCTCGTAGTTTTCTCAGCTGTTGCAGCATTTCGGGAAGAGATGAAAGCAAGGAAAAGTTATTTCCCCCCCATTTTACAAATTATGATTGTCTCAATATTACTTAGGCGTTTTCTATTGCGAGTTGCATCCAGAGGGAATCTGAGGAACCAAATATTGCTTCAGGATACATATCAGGGGTGAAATGCTCCTGGTTCGGATCGGATCACCTGATCCGGTAGCGATGGCGGCGGGTGGTTTGGAGAACCAGTAGTAAAAATTCCTTCCCCCCAATGCCCAGCTGAGCCGCATGATCATCAGAGGCTTTTTTTTTTTACTTTTAAAAGCATTTTTTCTACAACCTCTTCAGCCAAAAAAATGCTTTTAAAAGTTAAAAAAAAAAAAAAAAAGCCTCTGATGATCGCACGGCTCAGCTGAGATCCTCAGAGGCTTTTCAAAGCATTTTCTTCTGCAGCCTCCTGGCCGAAGAGGTGGTAAAAAAAATGCTTTGAAAAGTCTCTGACGGTCCCAGCTGAGTTGCCTGATCGGCAGAGGCTTTTCAAAGCATTAGAAAAAATGCTCTGAAAAGTTAAAAAAAAAAAAAGTTGGCCACACCCACCCAGGCAACATTCCCCCCCCAAGGCACGCCCACAGAACTGGTAGTAACAAATTTTACATTTCACCCCGATACATATATACTAGATCCGTGATGGTGAACCTATGGCACAGGTGCCAGAGGTGGCATGCAGAGCCTGCTCTGTGGGCATGAGCGCCATCGCCAGCTGCTCTTCTGGTTTCTGCTCATCAGCCAGCTGGTCTTTTGGGCTTTGGCGCGTCGGAAAAACGGCCTGAAGATGGCCAAAAATGCCCTGAAAATGCCCTCAAAAACGGCTTGAAAACACCCCCCAAAATGGCCAAAAACGCCCAAAAAACAGGCATGTGTGCATCAGCTGGCTGGTCTTCGGGTTTCTGGCGCGTGCGAACACCAGCTGGCCGGTGCGCACACACGTGCCGGTGCACCAGCCAGCTGTCTTTATGTTTCCAGCACACACACACACACACAGAGTCTGGTTTGGGCACTCAGTGCCGAAAAGGTTCGCCATCACTGGACTAGACTATTTTATTGAGGCAAGCGTGGTTAGACACACAAAGAATTGGATACAGTGTAGATTCAAAAGAACAGAGTGGTAATAATCATAATAATAATAATACTCAAGCAGAAAAGATGTGGATAATAATATTACAGCTGTACAACATGGGTGGACAGACATAAGACAGTGCTGTGGGAATTCGGTGTTTAGCAGAGTGATGGCACGAGGGGAAAAACTGGTAGTTTGGGCATATGATCCCCCTTTCCCTTTAAGCCAAAGTTAAGAAAAGGCAGCTGCTTTTCTGTTGCCACTGTCTGGTTCTACCAATTGCAAAACTAGCCGGTTTAACTAAGCAGGAAAACGGCTGGACAAATTGTGCTACCAAAACAATAGTAAGCCCAGGCTGGAAAATGAAAACAGCGGCTTGAAGCTTCCGGCCTAAGTAACTTGGCAGCAGGAACTCTTAGCATAGCTTTTCTCCTTTTACCACCAACAAAATAGACAAGATATAAACAAAAAGCAGGATTTAAATACTCTGTTGAAATCACCCATTGACCTTCTGCTAGTAAAGTAGCATGACTGTCACACTCAGCAGGGTAAAAAAAAATGGGATGGTCGTAAGGTCTCTAGACTTAAGTAAGCGGGTTGGATTAGAAGACCTCTGAAGTCCTCTTCCAGCCCTAGGGTTCTATGTTCTGGGTTCTAATTTCATTTCTAGGCGAAGGGTCTCTGCCAGCAACTGAAGTTGAAATGAAGAGCCAGCAATTCAGGCGCCCTTGGCTGTCCTTGGGGGTCCGCAAGCAGCAGGCTGAAGGGTCTCCAAATACCCCAACCCTTCCCAAGCACAACTGTGAGTCATTTCGAACTGCCTACCTTTGGGGTCTGGCCCCTCACTTTGCCAGCACGAGCCAGGGAACCGTGGACCTTCCCTAGAGAGAAAAGCAAAACGAAGGAGGCCGTTTTTACAGGGAATAGAA